TTGTAAACAAATGACCCCCATTTTTTCTCAAAAGACTTGTACACGTATTTCAAAAGCATTGTCATAAAATTGATATCTCTTCTGATTTTCTCTTTTTTGTAAACTGTTCAGTAAGTAGGAAACTAAAATCATTTTGAACTAATGTTATTTATTTGTGGTCGACAATATTCTTCTTTCGTTTTTGACCTTCATTCTCTGGACACCACATGGGCTTTGAAAAGGGAACTACAAAAGGTACTGTTTTCCAGATTCTTAACAACATTATATATTATACGTTCTTTTATTTGACTGATATTATTTCATAACATGCTATTGTCATCTTCTCTGAATTTCTTCGCTTTCTTGAAGCCAAAACCGAACAGGGTATTTGATCGCTTCATATTGTAAATGACCATCGGAATGTCTCTCTTGTTATCCTTGCAAACATACAACACTTTCCGGACTTTAAATAGACGACCAATCAGTGACCTGAATTAACGTGAACTATATTTAGTCAAAGGTAAACTCTGATTTTACATCCTTGTTTATCGCAACCGCGACTTTGCGACAATACGACTCTCGACACTTGCCTGTATACATTTTAAAAAGATTTTTTTTCTTTTTGAATTTATATTTTTGTCAGTGAAGTAGCCGGCACTTGGAGCCACGGTAAACAGCGGATTTCCGTCTGTCGGGTACTTTGTTTTCAATTCGCCACCTGGGCTACCACAACTAAATAAAAAGATCGCCCAGGTCAATTTCTGGTCGCCATGAGTGACCGTTAAGTTTTTTCCCTGGACATGACCAACAGAGAAAGTAATTTTCAATGCATTATGATTTATGAAAATGACCCTTATTCAATAGGAAAACATAATCTAACACCTCGTTCATTTATGATGCAAATAAGCTGAATGGCCGAGTGTGTTCAATTTGAAAATAAAAAGAGTTAAAATGCAGGAATTGCAAAAACAGATGTTGGACATCAGAGTAATCTCGGCCTATGAGTATGAGTTTTAGGCAATTTGTAGGGGGGGAGTGTTCAAGGGAAGCAAATGCTCTTTAAATTATGCATGTTTCAAAAATTGGGGAAAAATTACACAGAGCGTTGAGTCATTTTTTTCAGACTTAATTTAAATAATGACTAATGTAGACTTACCTTCTAATTCTATAAAAAAAATCACAACTACTGAACAGGAACAATCATGGTACTTTTTTGTCTATGAAACTACACTATGACATCTGATCTTCAAAACCTATAAACAGACACAGAAATATCATCAAATAGTGAAATATAAGATTGATTGCACCTTGTATGGATAGTTCCGACACGTGTTACATGGGGAGCCCGTTTGTTTACAAATAATAATGTCACGTGATCACGCACTGACCGTCACAAATTTTATCCTCCGCCATGCATTATTCTTATTACACAATATTACTGTACTTACACAATTCACAAATGCATAACCCATTTATCTTGCGGACATGCAATGGGAAAGTGCACGGTTATCAAAAACTACAAAAATATTGCATGTACAGTTAATGAAGAAGTTATAAGGTTTTCACTCGTACACAAATTGACTGGGTGTCATCGCCATCGGGGATACACCTTATCGCTATTTGTCCGCCATTACTGGACATCACACAGGTTCCCGTAAAATTTTGACGTCACAATACAAAATATCTGACGCCACAATGGAAAAGTGATTGTTGTATGACGTCAAAAGTTCAAGCGGGACAGATTCTCGGGTCAGCCGGGAATACATGGAATAGCGATAAGGTGTATTGATAAATGGGATTAAATTGACCGCCAAGAAGGTGCATGTAGAGAACTACCTCTGGAGAACCTTAACATTAATAAGTAATACTCACCAAAATTTCTCTATAATTAACGCTATTTTCTGTTGCAAAATTTCAGAAAGATGCTGATAAACTTATTTGGTGGTGACACAGATTATTTACTTGTTTTGGCGCGAAATATATTCTTACTCTTAATGCTTGACGTAACAAAATTTGTATATAATTATATTTTACTAAAGCTCAGCGTAAATATGCAGAAGCATGACAATACATTAATTATAAAATGTGTAAATATTTCTGTAAAAGAATATAATTTTACTTTCCCAGTATATTTCACTTAGAATTACATTTGAGCGCAAGAAAGTCTCCTTGTGAATAGGCCCTGTGTCGAAGTTCAACATATCAACGGAAATTTTTGCGTGTGCTTGCGTTGCTTTACATCGAGGCTACAGCTTTTCAACCAATCGGGGAATGTTTACCTAGGGCATGCATCTATTTTTACTGCAGGTTTTGACATGTTTAAATCGGGATTATAGAAAAATAGAATGTTGTTGGTAAATACAAAACAGAAAATGATGAACACTTTTAGCAAAAGATAAATTGGATCGGGGGTCTGTGAATTCACATTATTTGTACAACTCTCGTTACTCTTGGGAAGCGTGTGCTTTACATCGAGGCTTGCGTTGCTTTACATCGAGGCTTACATTGACGCCATAGTAGTTCAACCAATCGGGGAATGTTTATTTGGGGCATACATCTATTTTTACTGCAGGTTTTGGCATATTTTAATCGAAATTAGAGAAAAATGGAATGATGTTAGGAGATATAAAACAGAAAATGATAAATATTTTTAGCAAAAGATGAATTGGATCGGGGTTCTGTGTATTCACATTATTTGTACAACTCTCCTTACTGATGGCAAAAAATGGAATTTCCGTGACCTAAATGGTTCGCGAAAATTAATATTTTTATATATATATAGTAACAATGTAGTTCTGAAACCTTTTGAGAGATAGAAATTATATCTACACGTAGTTTGTTTCTGTTTTAAACATTTATGATTGAAGACAAGAATGAAAGTGTTTTTTAATTTTTTATGTTAATTGAATAAATTAGTTCTTTCAAAAATCTTCCACCAATAATGTGACATGTGATAGATAAAAGACCACTGTATAAGCAAAGAATTAAAGTAAAGTTGAATTATCTCCCTTTATACTAATCTTCCAAATGTAGTTGATCAAGTCTTTGAATGTGATGATAGAAATATTTGGTATTACTATAAATGAAATATATGTATATAGTTCTTACATCAAACAAATATGTGAATAGGATTGGTCCGTTACAATTTTTTCCCTTGGTTAACACTTCAATAAACCATGTTGCTTAAACTACATTTTCTTAATTTATGTAAACACTGTGATCTATTTATGTGTGATACACATACATGGAATCCTTTGGTTCAAAGCAAATCTAAATTGAAAAAAAGATACACAACTGTTTTTCCTATTTCAATATCTAACAAAAAAAAAAATAATGATTTAGAGTTTGGGAAAATGAATAAAATTAAAATAAAAAAAAATTCTGCAAAATTGTTGCATGGATGAGACAATGAAAATAAAATTTGTAACCCATTAAAACCTTTGAGAGCTCATCAGCTAGCGCTGCACCTGCCTCATATTAGAAATGAGCTGTCAATCAAGCACATGGACTGTCAGGATACATTTATGTATGGATTATTTTGACAAAAGCACCCTGAAATATTAGAAAAAGCCTCCGACCTCTGTCTTAGACAAATGAATTCAAGAATTATGAATCCTTATCTTTTTTCAATATTTAACATATGGAAATTTTATAGAAAATCCACAGCCTTTCCCTTGCACTGTTGTATTTTATAATTCTGTACTTAATAGGGGATTATAGCATTCAGTGCTAGCAATGATTTCATTAAAACAAGTTTTTTAATATAGATATTATTTCAAAACAATCACAAATATGGATTTTTGGATTGTCAAGGTTGTTAAAAAATGTTTTGCAAACAATAAACAGTAGCACAACATGGTCAAACAACTGAGTATTATATGTTTAAAATTTCATAACAAAAATCTTTGTAATAAAGTTTGTGGATTTTCTTATATTTTTTTATTTGTCACGAACTATGATTCCCACTTTCCATCAGATGCACTAAGACAATAAATATTATTGATGTGAAAGACGTTTCAATTTGGTTAATATTCAAAATAGCAGTTATCTCTTTAGACTTATTCAATATCTTTGCTGTTTGATATTATTGCACGCACTATGAAAACTTCGTAACACATGCCCATAGCCTATTATGAGAGTAGGAGGGGGTCATAAGCCATAATAGAAGTCTATGATAAGACTAATTGGCTGTAACTGAATCAAACGCAATGAAACCAGCTCCAAGGCCTCAATTCAGGGGCAGGTATGAACACGGCAAAATTCGAGCAAACTGTATTATATTGTACTAGTGTCCACTAAAATTGATGAAAAGGTGACTTGAATCTAAATTTATTTCTTCACAATTTAAAATATGAATGTTAATGAAAATATATCAGAATCATAGAAAAAGAAGAAGAGGTCCATGCCTAGCCTATTTTGAAAATAACTACGAAATGCCTATAATGGGGGTCCCGTTGGGGGGGGGGGGGGGGGGGGGGGGGTATGATCCCGGTTATTGTTTTATCACATTTCCGTATCCCGCTTATCCTTGTAATAATAACGCTTGTAATTTCACGTGTCCCGTCCCATTTCGTTTCCTGTTTTCACGCACAATAATTTGATTTTCACGAGTCACGCTTACAAAAAATCAGCCAATCCCGCGTCACGCTTAGACCCCAATGAGACCCATTATAATCTAGTTTAAATTTGAAATGCGTGCATAATCACTACATTGAATCTAGCCCTGATTTTTTCTTTGCTTTTGAAATTAGAAATAAATAAGTTATAAAATCAAATAAAATATTAAAGCTGATGAATTACCCTGGGACCAGGTGTGTTACTTCTTATCAAGTTAATCAATCTTTAGTTATTTAATTAGTCCCCAATTGTCTATGTTATCACTCTAAACACGCAAATTATACGCAATAATTACCTGCAAAAAAGACTATACAAGGTAACAAACGAAATTTCCTTAATTATTTATAATTCTATAATTTTTCTAGCAATTTGCTAGTTTACCATATCTTAGTCTGAATGAAACAATGGCCGGTGGTAGATTAACTATATGTATTTTATTTTTTATGTCAACTTATTGTAATGGTCAAATTTACAAGTTTTCGAGAAACGAGACCTTTTCACATCCGAGGAAGAAACTAAACGGCCATATCATATCGGAATTTACAACAAAACATTTAGTTACTCAGTGTGCTATGGAATGCTTTCAAAACAAAAGGTGTGCGTCTTTTAATTTTGACCAAAAAGACCATGTTTGTCAGCTGAACGATGCTACGCATATTGACTACCCCGGTGATTTTGAAAATAACAACTCTGAATTTGACTATCATCTTCGAGGAGCATTTTCTATAGACCCAGTAAGTAACGGTAGTCAATATTACTGTATTCACGTATTCAATGCTTTTTGTTTTTGTTTTTTGTTTTGTTTTTTAAAGATTTGTATTATTCCTTTATCCATACGTATCCGGCAATTTATTTTAATCAAATCTTAACATTTCTGACTTTCTGACCTTATAATGCACAAAAGAGTTAACAAAAGAGTTGACGGAAGGAAATTTGTAGACAAGAATTATGCTTAAAAACATGATACAATATAAGTTTTAGCAATTACACTGGGTCAACGTATATTTGTTCTGCCTGACAGAAGTTCCTCTGGAAATTTTATTACAAACAATGTTATAATATCTGTTCCTGTCGGAGCACATATTCTATACCGTTTATTCCGAAAGGAACAAATGCTATAACATTTGTTCTTGGAAATGATAATTCATAATATTTCTTCCATTTTGCACTTCTATTATGAAAGAACTTCTATTTCATGCCAACAGATCCACTAAATACCTTGTTACTGATCAACAATGCCTGCCGCAGTCGTAATATGACAATAACCGTGTTTTTTTTAATTGACCACGAGACAAGACGTTTGTCTATAAGGTTTTAACGAATACAATTAAAAAATCAGAATAAAAAACGTTGAAAATGAATTGTAATAACACTATGAAAGTATAACTTGACGATATGCATTATCAACAACACCATGAAAAATTATCTTGAAAAATCCTTAGATTCTTTTTTTTAATTCAGTAATGAACATAGTTGATATACGTATACAAAATTTTAAAGAGAATTTTACTCCTAACAACAACCATAATAGCCCTATTTCTCGTATCAAACATAAGCTAAAAGAACTCGCGAAGGAATTTGTTTTTTGTCCCGGCTGATAAGGCTGCTAATAATATCATTATTGTTTGACGTAAATTTTACATTGAGGTTCTGCAAAAGGAAATCACTAATTCACCAACATTCCAACTGACTCCATATTCGGAAAATGACATCTGTAACAAACATTTAGCTACCTCTTTACAAGCAGAACCAAATACAATGAAAGTTCCAACTATGTACTGGCTTCCGAGGCTGCACAAAACACCTTACAAATATAGATTTATTTCGTCTTCCAGTCATTGTTCCTCTACTTAACTGTCTATTTTACTTACAAGTACACTTAGGACAATCAAAAACCTGGTAATAAATTGTTCAAATAAGGCCTTTGAAAATAGTGGAATTAATTACTTTTGGAGTGTCAAAAATTCTTTGGAAGTACTTGATAAATTGCATGCTTATATTGGTGATTTCGAATCTGTTCAAAGTTTTGATTTTTCTACCCTATATACCACTTTGCCTCATAATCTTATTTAGAAAAAATTCACACACCTAATCAATGGGCATTTAAAAAGTCAGAATGCGAATATATATGTTCAAACTCTTTTAGGTCATTTTTTAGTAACAACAAACAAAAGAACTATGTCAATGGACCTGCTTTGATACTATAACTGCCCTTGAATTTTTACTAGATAACATTTTTTGTTCGCTATGGAGATTCCGTATATCATCAAGTTATCGGAATTCCAATGGGAACTAACTGTGCACCACTTATTGCGGACCTGTTTCTGTATTGTTATGAGTTACAATTTATCCTGCCGAACTGACTTTAAATAAAGCTAATACTAACAATGAACACTGCCCTTTCCTAAATCTTGATATCTATATCTTTAACGGGAAGCTTAATACCAACATTTATGATAAAAAAGAGATGATTTTTCTTCCCTTGTCACCATCTTATGGTGTTTATATATCCCAACTTATTCGATTCGCTCGTGTATTTGATTTTAGCGAAAGAAATCTCTGTATTACTGAAAAATTATTACACCAGGGTTTTCGATATCACAAACTAGTCAAAACATTTACTAAATTTTATCATCGGTACACAGGACATTATTCGTAAATATAAATCAACATGCAGACATCTTATACGTTCAGGTATTTCACATCCAATCTTTTATGGTAATATTCTTTACAAAGCACAAAAATGTCGGCATTCACCTCAAAAGTTAACCAAGCCTTAAAACAGACTTATTCAGAAGGGATATAGTTACGATACTGTTGTCAGGTCATTGAAGGTGGCATATTTTGGTATTAATATTGATTCACTCATAGGGTCTTTGCATCGGAAATAAACACATTTGTTCTAAAACCAGTTGTTGGCATGATACGGGTTATGTTCTTCTCATATATTTTATGATGGTATGATACTAAATCCCTAATGGGAGGGATTGTGCTTGATTTTCATATGATGAAGACATAATCTTTCAATATCAGTTTAATAATTGAAGTCTTGAGCTGGCATGTCAGTGACTGCTAGTAGTCCTTTGTTAATTTATGTATCATTGTCATTTTGCTTAGTTTCTTTTGTTACCTATTCTGACATCGGACTCGGACTTCTTTTGAACTGAGTTTTACTGTGGGTATTGCTGTATGTTTGTTTATTCAAAATTGGCTAGAGGTATAGGGGAGGGTTGAGATCTCACTAAACATGTTTAACCCCGCCGCATTTTTGCGCCTGTCCCAAGTCAGGAGCTTCTGGCCATTGTTAGTCTTGTATGTTTTTTAATTTTAGTTCATTTATATGTTTTGGAGTTTAGTATGACGTCCATTTTCACTGAACTGGTAAACCTTTTTATATAGGGGCCAGCTGAAGCCCGCCTCCGGGTGCGGGATTTTCTTGCTGTGTTGAAGACCCATTGGTGGCCTTCGGCTGTTTTCTGCTCTTTGGTCGGGTTGTTGTCTCTTTGACATATTCCACATTTCCATTTTCTATTTTATTGAAAATACTTGAAAAAATGTTTACTGAGGCTTGTACATGTTGCCGCTTAATAGTGTTAAGACCGCATGTTCCCTCAGTAGTTTTTCCGGCCACATGTTGACTCAGAATAGTTGTTACGGCCACATGTTGACTCGGAATAGTTGTTACGGCCACAAGATGACTCAATGGTTGTTACAGCCACATGTTGCCTCAATATAGTTGTTACGTCAACAAGTTGACTCAATAGTTATTACGACCACATGTTGACTCAGTAGTTGTTACGGCCACATGTTGACTCAATAGTTATCAAGTTACGGTCACTTGTTGACTCATTGGTTGTTACAGCCAAATGTTGCCTCAGTATAGTTGTTACGGCCACAAGTTGACTCAATAGTTGTTACGGCAAGATGTTGACACAAAAGTTGTTACAGCCGTATGTTGTCTTAGTAGTTGTGACGGCCACAAAATGACTCAATAGTAATTACGACAACAAGTTGACTCAACAGTTATTACGGCCACAAGTTGTCAATAGTTGTTATGCCACAAATTGACTCCATAGTTATTACGGCCAAATGTTTCCTCAATAGTTGTCACAGCAACATGTTGTCTCAGTATAGTAGTTACGGCCACAATTAAGATGACTCAATGGTTGTTACAGCCACATGTTGCCTCAGTATAGTTGTTACGTTCACAAGTTGTTTTATTGGTTGTTACGGTCACATGTTGATTCAGTATAGTAGTTACGGCCACAAGATGACTCAATGGTTGTTACAGCCACATGTTGCCTCAGTATAGTTGTTATGTTTTATTGGTTGTTACGGTCACATGTTGATTCAATAGTTATTATGACCACATGTTTCCTCAGTAGTTGTTACCGCCACACGTTGTCAGTAGTTGTACGACCACAAATTGACTCCATGGTTATTACGGCCACATGTTGCCTCAATAGTTGTTACGGCCACATGTTGACTCAATAGTTATTACAGCAACATGTTGACTCAATAGTTGTTACAGCCACATGTTGCCTCAATATAGTTGTTACGTCCACTAGTTGTTTCATTGGTTGTTACGGCCACAAGTTGCCAGTTGTTGTTACGGTCACACGTTTTTTCAATAGTTATTACGGCCACATGATGACTCAATAGTTGTTCAGTACAGCCACATGTTGCCTCATTATAGTTGTTACGGCCACAAATTGGCTCAATAGTATATATGGCCACATGTTGACTCAATAGTTGTCACAGCCACAGTCTTGTTGCCTCATTAGTTTTCACGGCCCTTACATACTTTAAATTTCGAAAAAGAAATGATTTCATTTATATAATGAAATACAACAAGTATTGGATTTTTAAGGCCAACTGGATACAATAACCAAATAATATGGACATGGGTGAGTATAAAATGGCATTTTTGTTTGTTTTAAACTGTGGGAGAGTTAGGGCGTCGAAAATTTCCAGAATTTTTGTATTGTAAAACAAAGGGTTTATTAAAAGTGGTGGATTGACCTGGAAACCCAAGTGGTCGTAAAAAAAATCATCTCGACCCAGACTAAGAAGGGCTGCAATTTATGTCTTGAAAACTGAATACCCATTGTCAAGCAGATAAAGCATACACCATCTGCTTCCATATTCATGTTCCTTCACGCATGTGCTACCTTTATTCATCAGCAACCGCAATTAGCACAACCAAAAGCTTCATTCCCATCAATCCAGTTTAACTTTTCGCGTCCGATTTTTTACGTGATAAAAATACAAACAATAGAGGGTGGGGCAACCCCGGGACAGTATCAGCAAGCCGATTCTGAAAATTATCAAAGGCCTATATTTAATTCTGGTGACCATAATAAGGTCAAAAGTACCAGACCGAAACCTATGGACAATGTGTAACTGCTTCACTTACAGTACTTGGTATTAAAGGAGGGACGACAAAGCCAGTGGGGTCAATTTCATTTCCACGTAGGTATATGATGACAGAAAATATGTTATTACGTATTACCAAAAGTCCTTTACACTAGGAATATACTTCTGATATTACACCGTTAATGATATGGTAAAAAAAAAACCATCGAAAAACAACCAAGGGACCAGACAGATAGAAAAGATGAAAAACATTATTTTTGTGATTTTGTATGTTTTTAATTTTTAGTTTTTCTTTTTTGGATAGTCGAAATAAGTTTGGTATCATTGAAATGGCAGACATATAGTACCGGCGGAAATACAATTCAGTGTATTATCATCATGTCTCGATCCGATACATTCATCAGGGCCGGTGTACGATTGGAAATTTGAAGGCCAATATAGTATTTCTCTATTTCCCTTATATTTTTTTTTCAATATAAAAATTCGGTGTGAGGTAGAAACAGTTTTACTCACACCTTCTCTCGAGAAGCTTCATCCTGTACTATTCACGTACAAGTCGACGAGATCATGGACTATTTTGGGCAAAAGGGCACTAACGTATACACATAAGAAAATTTTCCCTTTGTTGTTATAATCATCTATTTTATTATCAATGTTGATTTAAAAAAAATGAATAGGGGCGTCTTGGTCCTTGTAGTGTTCTGTCGCCTATGTGAATATTCTCCAACATTTTCGGCGTACCATACGTTTTTCCGGATATCTTTCCGATGTTGGCCTCTCTTTTTAGAAAAACGATTTCCGGTAGAATTTTTACACACAAAAAGTACATTTCATGATTTGATCAGATAATGTTACATAAGTGAAGAGTAATTAAACACATCGACAGAACAACTGAAGAGATACCCTGCCACAAAGACAAAGATTGAAGAAAAAAAAAGTCACTAGGTAATAGCTAGTCCAAACTGAGATGTGTTATAATAGTCTCAGGTCCAAATAATTATGATGTCTTGAAGGTCTATTTTTATATTTTTTTTCTGTGACGCCTTCCTACCGTCACAGAAAAAAAAATAGCCTTTTAGTCCATATAAATTTTTTTTTTAATTCTAAACATTTTAACTTCAGAATTTGTTGAAAAAGAAACGGAAATACGGAAACGTTTCCGATGTTGGTCCTGTTGTTAAGGATTTTAGTTGTGACGTCATTTTCAATGTAAACAAAGAAACGCTATCATTAGGCAGAGACATATAATACAAGGCATTAGGCATATAATCTTCTTCACAACAATGGCGGATATTTTTTTTCCAATCCCATCATTCCATTGAATCGATATTAATCGTTTTCTGGTGGCCGAGACATTTCATTGGCTGTTACTTAGATTCTTCTAGAGTTGCGAATTTCTTGTATTATATTATATATGTCTCTGCATCAGGTAACGTTTTTTTTTTTTAAATCAAAGAATTATTAAAATATTATAAAATTGTTATAATTGATATCTTTAAAACCACGAAGATACCAAGTCGGATTGTTATTCTTATCAGATACTGAAATCTGACTGATTGATCAGGTGAGTTTCCCAAGAGAACACAATTTGTTTGCTGTAAAATTATGTTGAATAAGCTCCAGACTCATTTTAAAATGTAAGGAACTTATTTTAATTGTTTAACTGGCAGTTTTCTTTCGGTAATCAAAAACAACAAATTTGCGGGAAACAATATGATGCTCCTTCCTATATTTTACTCAAAGTCTTGTGACAAACAAGACCAGATGAATAAAAAAAGAGATTTCTGCGCAAATGAGGGAAAATAAAAAAAGCCTTAACGGTCACCTCGTTTCAGCGCTCACCTGCCTCCAATGGTCACTTTCAGACCCTCCCAAAAGTTTTCTCTATATAATTTAACTCAATTCAGCGGTCACCTCTCTAACGCGGTCAACGGTCACCTATTGCACGAAATCTTCATTTCAACTTTTAACAACGGTCATTTTAATGTTTTTAACTTCCGAAATAATCATGCCGAAAATATGTGGTGTTCAGTATCAAAGTCAAAATGAAAATTGGAACCTGTTTGCAACGGAAATTCTGCAATAGGAGGTGAACTCCTCCTGTACCACTCCTTTCCATTTTCATTGAAAACTGTATCACCGACTTATTTCTCCACGAATATTGATATATTTTGAATGTTTTCTTCACGTTTACAGCGCCGGAATCAGCCATTTTTTAACACACTGAGGCAATAACCATAACTCTAGCGATTGAAAAGACTAAAACAATTTGCCCCGATCCGTACTATAGGTGATCTCGGATTCAAAATTGTTTTCAGAACCTCATTTCAAAGATCACCTCTCTTGAGCGGTCACTTTTGATACTTTCCAAAAGTGACTGCTTAATACAGGTTTTACTGTACATGCTGTATATGTCTCTGATGTTAGACCATGAACAACTATATGTGAACATATGTGAATTTGTGATTCAGAGATCCTAGATATTGTAAGCAATTTGTGGCAGAGATATTTTTCCTCCAGTAACATTCTGTTATGTTCTTTCCTCCTTCATCCCAGCTGCTACAATTTTGCAGCTGTAACCTTCTTGAATAGGCAAATCAGCATGCAATATTTGCTACTGAACATTATTTGGTTCAAATAAATACAAGTACATGTTTTTATTCATATTTGTTTTTCTTCCTTACTGGCTTTTAAGTTTTGATAATCTGACTAGACCAAAAAATGAAAAAGCAGTCATTGCCTTATTGATAAAAAACTCATCATAGATACCAGGATCCAAATTTTGTCTGCCAGACGCCCGTTTCGTCTACAAAAGACTCTTCAGTGATGCTCGATTCATAAAAAGTTTATTAAAGGCCAAATAAAGTATCAAAGCACACAAGAGTACAAAAATAGACAAACATCTGTACATCGCTCTAGAAGCTGGTTTAAACTCATTTTCATTAGTGTGACTTTCCAAAGTAGAAAAAAACAGCATGAATAATGAGACTATATTAAACATTAATATATATTCCATCAAAAAATTTGAAAATGACAAAAATTACATAACCCAGAAATTGGCTAGAAAGGACAACACAAAAAAAGTGTCTGTAAATATAAGTTGGTTTACAGTACTTTTAAAGAACTAATACGTGCAGGTAATGTAGTACAGTGATATAAAATCATGTTGTTTTTAAGGAAGCAGTAGGACCATGTGGAAGTTACCCCTGTAAAAATAATGGACAATGTTTAGATAATTATAGAGATGATGACGGAAACAGAATTTATCTATGTTTATGTAGCAATGGATGGGGAGGACAGAATTGTGATATACAAAGTAAGCTTTACTATAAATTAAACATGTTAAAAGAAAAATTATATGAATGAAAGAGATATCTCGTAATATAATTATTAAAATGCCAAAGAGAGAAGTTGAATAAAAACTAGACATTTAGAGGTGTCCATATCAGCTTCAAGGATTTTCAACATCCAACCATATGACAGGCTTTATCTTGCTAAAAGTCCAATCTGATTGAAATATAGATCCTGTGTCCAAGCTTTTCTTTACAAGGATCTGAAATTGATCTGTTCTACTCTACAGTACTGTACATCACAGAAAACTATACCAAAAAGTAATACACTTGTAATTGCATGTATCTCAACCAAGGAAGAAACAAAGACAAAAAAAATTTTGAAAATTGTTAATATAGTTTTAGACCAATATATATATATGACGATATGCATATGAGCAGAATTTAACAGTCTATTGCGTTTTCCCTTGATTATACCATTTGGACTTCAAGAAAACCCAGTAGATATAGTGTGAGAAAATCCTACTGCATGCTTTGTTTAATAAATCAATATGTCAATTTTCTGAAAATAGGACACACATAATTTATTCTATAAGTTTATCTAAGGATATTTTTTTCACCATTTTGTATTTTTTTTTTCAGAACACAGATTGGCCTGGTCTGATTGGTCAGGATGGGGAGGATGTTCAGCTTCCTGTGGAAATGGATATCAGATAAGAAATCGTGCATGTAAAGATACAGTGACTAATGAAGATAGACCAGACACGGATTGTTATGGGTCAGATATTGAGTACCAAACCTGTCCATACAAAAAGTGTCCTAGTAAGTTTTCTCCCGTGACACTAATTGTTATTTATTATATATCTAAAAATAAATGTTTTACTTGTAGGCCATCTTTTCTGACATTTGTGTTATAATTAGGTACTGAGTATCATACAAAGTTCGCCCTTGTTGGCTTTCTCAATTGACTCAGACCCTTATGAGTCAGATACTGATTACCAGTCAATCAATACATTATCATTGATAAGATATTGAATATACAAAAGTTGTCCATATAAGTTTTTTTTTCTCTTACAAAGTACAAAAATGTAACACCGATTGTTGATGATTTGATACTGAGTACCAAAGCTGTCTGTAGTATACCAAAGTAGTCCTTAAAAGTTATCTCCACTGATGCTGGTTGCTAGAATAAGATATTTATTACCAAACCTGAGGTTGTTTTCATAAGTTACCTGTTATCTGAGAAAATTTGTGTTTTAATATTATAAGAGACAGCCTTATCATATACATGTAATGTAAGTGGAGCAATATTTATTACTTGAAGAAAGAAAAGGTTACAGCAAAGATGTTAAATCATGTTGTTGTTAGTTGAGAAAATATGTGAAAGACAACTTATCAGGGATGATGGGATGCAGAGTAGTCCAGATAGAGTTTGATATATAAATGATAGTTTTTAGTTTTGTAAACTTCCTATTTTTTTGTTATCAGGTTGGGATGAATGGGGAGGCTGGGATGAATGTTCAACAAAGAATACATGTGGTCCTGGTACAATGGTGAGAACCAGGAACTGTAGTAATGGTGGTGTAGTGGGTGTAGATAGATACTGTCTTGGTCCATCATCAGAATCAGCTGTCTGTGACAGTCTTAAATGTAAAGGTATGTATAAGTTGGGTGTAGATAGGTACAGTCTTGGTCCAACATCAGAATCAGCTGTTTGTCCCAGTCTTAAATATGAAGGTTTGCATATGGTACCTTGATGTCTAAATGCTATGTGATTTTTACGCTTTTCATGTGAAAGTTATATTCTTCAATCAAAAAATTGGGTCTTAACCTCTGATTTTATTATGTTTTAATATCAAGATGAGAATAAGGCAGCTATATGCATTTTTTTATAATTGTTCATATTAGATTTCAAATTTCTCATTTTGAAAACATAGAAATGAAATAGGGATCCTCCTTAACCTTGCTTTATTTACACTTGACATTTTCTGATATGGAAACTACTATTGATGAGAGTAATGCAATCAAAGTTAGGTATCAAGTGATTTTCAATGAACGGGAAAACATCAGAAAATTTCATAAAATAAAAGTTTGACGGAAAAAATCTTTTATATATATATTCTCAAACATCATACCCTTTTAAGCTTCTTAAGTCATACTCATCCTTTATATTTTTCATGTATGGTGTGACTCTGTAATGTTAGATATAAGAAGATGTGGTATGAGTGCCAACTCTCCATCCAAGTCAAAATTTATAAAAGTAAACCATTATAGGTCACAGTACGGTCTTCAACACGGAGCCTTGGCTCACACCGAACAGTAAGCTATAAAGGGCCCCAAAAAATAACTAGTGTAAAACCATTCAAACAGGAAAACCAACGGTCTAATCTATATAAAAAACGAGAAACGAGAAACACTTATGAACCACATCAACAAACGACAACTACTGAACATCAGATTCCTGACTTAGGACAGGTGCAAACAAATGCAGCGGGTTTTAATGGTACCAAACCTTCACATTAGACTATTTAGAAATTTCTGTATCATTTATATTTCATAATGGTATACTATTTGGAGAAATCTTTATCCTTTATATTTTGGGATTGTGAGACTTTGCAATGGTACATTATTTAGAGAAATATGTATAATTCATATTTCAGGAATGGTGAGACTTTGTAATGGTACATTATTTAGAGAAATATGTATAATTCATATTTTGGGAATAGTGAGACTTTGTAATGGTACACTATTTAGAGAAATATGTATTATTCATATTTCAGGAATGGTGAGACTTCGTAATGGTACACTATTTAGAGAAATCTGTATAATTCATATTTTGGGAATAGTGAGACTTTGTAATGGTACACTATTTAGAGAAATATGTATAATTCATATTTTGGGAATAGTGAGACTTTGTAATGGTACACTATTTAGAGAAATATGTATAATTCATATTTCAGGAATGGTGAGACTTCGTAATGGTACACTATTTAGAGAAATCTGTATAATTCATATTTTGGGAATGGCGAGACTTTGTAATTAATGGTACATTATTTAGAGAAATATGTATAATTCATATTTCAGGAATGGTGAGACTTCGTAATGGTACACTATTTGGAGAAGGTAGAATAGAGATGCACAATGATATAACTAGAGAGTGGTTACAGGTGTGTGGTGATAACTGGGACTTACCTTCAGCTCAAATTGTTTGTAAACAGAGAGGATTTATTGGAGCTTTTAATGGTAATTAGTCAGTGACATTCTTACTTCTTTTCTATTATAAATACTTGTTCTAGTTGTTTACTTGTATCTGGAAGTATATATTGGAGAGGGAAAAAATTTACCTTAAAATTGATATTCATTTTAGAGACATGTACTTTTCCCAGTTTTGTATACCAAAGCATGTTTGTGGGAATTTTTTTTTTAGCAGTGTTATGATATTATGACTTTTTGGTATTCCCTTGTCAATGCAGTTTTTCTCAGGTTCTGGTTACAGTGCTTTTTTGCCAAAATAGCCAAAATAAGTTTACTCTTTTGGCAAATATGTTTGGGATATTTCATAATTATCTTAAAAACTGTTAATGATTGGTAAGATAATTAACAATGGTTGATCTTATTCTATAAATTTCACCATCTCATCACTTACTACTATGTTCTTTCTTGCTCTGACATTGTGAATTAGAATTACTTAATTCAGGTTCAAGTATTATTTTGAAATAATATAAAAATCCTTTGTATTTTTTTCACAGCTATTTCAGATAGTTCTTACCCAAGTAATGCAAGTCAGCCAGGTATTATTGTGAAATGTAATGGTACAGAAAAAACACTACAAGGCTGTGAGAGACATGAGATTGACTCATGTGAGACAGTTGCTGGGGCGCAGTGCAGAGGTAAATTGTTATTTACACCAAACATAATATGTGTTTTTATTCCAATTTAATTTAAACCAAGAGATGACTTAATAAAAGCTCTTCTTAAATTTTGAAGCTGTTTTAGTGATGATAGAATATTTATCTATCAGATACTAACTAGCAACAAACTTAACAACCTGCAGTTCTTTTGCAATAAAATCTTTAAAAAAATTCTCATAATTCATGAAAATTTCACAATACTTTATGATCAGTTAAGTGAAAAGACCCCTCTTTTCTACCTGCCAAAGAATTTTCTTAGATAAAATGATAAAACATAAATTTTATTCTGCCCAAAATTTAATAGCAGATGATTTTAAACTTTAGAAATCTTGTTAAGTTTCAGTTTTGTAAGAATTTCTCATGGTTTTGTTGATATTATTTTTTAAGAAAAAGAAATATAGTGGATGCTATTGGAACAACGATAAAGTTTATAAGCTTTAGAAAATGATCACGAATTTGAACTTGAAAGAACAGAATTCCAATATAACTATTCAAGTGAAATCAAACTTATACAATAGCATTATGGAGTCTAATGTAAGGTGATGCTTTTCGGCGGTGGAGGCCATGGCGGCCACAGCCACATCATCGACAATTGTTTTCTGCCTAAGTTAGTTTGATAGGAACTACTTGTGATAAATCAATGATATTTTCTATAAAGTTGAATTACTATCAGTACATATCAGTTGGACGACTATTTCCAATTAGCAATGTTGCTGTCGTTAGATTGTTTTTTTTCTGAATTTTCTGCCAACTGGCGAGACATGTCTCTGTGTCAACAGTTTATTTAGTATAGTTGATATTCACTCATTTTCTTTTAGAAAAGTGGTATATGCCACCCTTATTTTTGGTATACTGGATTATGGATATCTTGAATTTATTTTAGGGGTAGGGAATATTTTTAACTATTTCTGTGATATTTGATGTGAAAATTTTAAGGATAGGGAATATTGACTGAGTACTGCATAAACAAGGTTTACAAATGCATGTATTTGGTACAAAAACTTACCATATGTTTCAATAGTGAAAGGAGTTTGGAGTTTATGGGCTCTATGGGGCGAATGTTCAGTAACTTGTGAAGATGGGATAAGGACTAGAAGGAGAGAATGTAATCACCCCCCACCAAATCATGGAGGACAACCCTGTCCTGGCAATGAAGTAGATTATAAGAACTGTACAATGATTATGTGTCCAGGTAATTATCAAAAATAATTATGGTTTATTTATTATAATCCCATGCATGTGTGCATATTCCTAATATCATAACCTAAAAACCTGCATGTATGAACACTGTTACATATCTGTAGGCAGTAAACAGATAAAAAAATGTGTCATGTAATAGTATTTAAAAAAAGTTTTTGATTAATTTTTTCAATTTGTATACTGCAGAGATGGCATTTTTAGTGGTTTGCTGTGCAATTATTTGTGTGTGAAACTTTTCAGTAGGTAATATAGGAATAATACTCTAGGCATATGTGTTTTACTAAAAAGGGCAAAGATAATGCTAAAAAAAAGACCAAAAAGACCAAAAAGGACAGTCAGTTTTTGAGAACACTGCAATTATGGACAAAGAGAGATAATTCAATTGAAAACATTGATTAAAATATTTCTTGCTTATTACAAAGTAAACAAAATAGTTTTGGTTGTTACAATGTTTCCTAAAATAACAATACAAATCATACACATGCTAAAAAAAATTCTTGCAGGTGCAAATTTAATCAAAAGAAAATTTGTATCAAAACTGCTCAGTAATAGATCAACAATATTTAGTTTATGGATTCAATGCAAGGTAGATTTGTCTGACAGGGGTCAACTGAATTCATCTTAATGGTTTTTTAATTAAGGTTAAGTTTTCTAGATACATGCAGTAAGACCATTTTCCCATAACCTGTCAATATAGTATTCAGTTTTTATCAGTTAAGCAGGCAAGACATTTCTGTCGGTGTTTTCTTGATATGGATCATCTATCTGTAAATTTTTGTGATACCTGTAGTACTACCTTGCAACATAAAGTTCAGTCATTATATGATTAAAAGGTGAGCTATTTCAGTGTGTCCACCATTTTTCAAATGTCACTATGAGAAGTTTCTGTTAGTAATAATATTGAAGTTTGAGAATGAATCTCTTCCATGTTCAAAAAGTAAGATTTAAAGAAGTGTTTTCCCAAATGATTTGACATTTAAAGGAAGGTTTGATTGTATTACACCCTAAAATTTCCTAACTTAATCTGTTGCTCCATCCTAATTTGGTATATGATTTATGACCAACATTTTACTGAATTGAGTAATCCTTGAAGATTGAGGGAAAAAAATATTGCAGCAGTATTGGGATTTTTTTTTAAAAGCCAAAGTCTTTCAATTGAAGTGAAAAAAATCAGTTTGCATGCATCAGTAAAATAATTAAACAGCTCTATTTATACAAGATGTTAGCATTTCCATGATTTATTTTGGTAATTTGAATTACAGTGGATGGATTTTGGGCTGCCTGGTCCCCCTGGTCAGACTGTTCAGTCACCTGTGAGAATGGTACCCAGTACAGAACAAGGGAGTGTAATGCACCAAAACATGATGGTGCTGATTGTCCTGGAGATGACAGAGAAGTTAGAGGATGCTTTCCAAAAATGTGTCCAGGTAAATTTTTGCTTTCCAAAAATGTAAATAGTTTCAGCCTTATTTTCAGTGTCTATTTAAAAGTTTTTTGTAAACTGTGTCCAATATTATTCCTTAAATATTCCTTTGTAAAACTATGATATCCAAAAAAGTGCCAGAGAAAAAAGCTGTTGTTTCAAAGTGCTAAAAGGTACAGAATTATTGGTCTACAAAAAGAATATCAGTAAATAAAAAAGCAATTATTGTTATTACAGTGGATGGTTACTGGACAGCATGGAAAAGTTGGTCTGAATGTTCTGCCACCTGTGGATATGGAAATCGTAATCGTTCCAGAACTTGTATTGAACCACTTTATGATGGTGCCCCATGTCCTGGGCCAGACTCGGAAATTGAAGCTTGTAACTCTTTCTCCTGTCCAAGTGAGTATAATTTTTTATTTAATTCTGGGATATTGATTATGTTCAAAGACTACCAAAAAAAAGGGTGAGGTTAAGATACCAAGGAGGCATTCAAAAACTATTGGTTGAAAAAAAAAGAACACCTCAAATAAAAGACAACCAAAAGACCACAGTCAACAAAACACTTACGGAAAACAAATATTGAGTAACAGGAACCCAACATAGAGGATCAAGTTTGGTTGTCTGGAAGGGTAAAAAATACCTGCTCAACTAGTTTATGTTGATGAAAGATATCAGGTGGAAAAATTGTCAAGATTCTGCATTCTTACTTGTATTCTATATAAATAACTGTAAGATTTTTCTGTGAATTTTTTTTAAAATGTTGATTTACATGCTCAAGTTATCCTCTCCAATTTGGTCACCCTTCTGCCTAAAATATGCATACCTTATTTGAAAAATAAATAAATTTTCATTTTTATACGCCTGTTTACGAGACATATTATGGTATATCGTTGTCTGTCCATCATCAACATATCAGAATATAACTCAAAAACACTTTAACCAATTTTCATGAAACTTTGGTGAATTGTTTATATCTATTGACGTAAGCTCCCTTTCGATTTTTATGCTTTAGATTTGAAGTTTCGGAGTTATGGGATTCTATTCATAAAAAAAGGGGGGATTTTCCAGTTTTTTCGGACAAAACTCAAAAATACATTGAGCAGTTTTCATGAAACTTTGGTGACTGGTTTATATCTATTGAAATAAGCTCCCTTTAAGTTTTTTTTTTTATAAATTTCTGATATGACATTGAGGAGTAATGGAACTTTATTTGTTGAAAATGAGACGGGCGTATCATGCGCTCATGGCACAGCTCTTTATTAGCATATGCTATTAGTTGGATCGCGCCAAATTATCATATTTTTTTAATGATTTAAATAAGTTGTCAGATTATGTGGCAAAAATTTTGATTTTGTATATTCCAGTTGATGGATCATGGAAACTTTGGGAGGCCTGGAGTGATTGTAGTACAACCTGTGGTGGTGGAGGTCGTAACAGAACAAGAGAATGCAATGAAGCCATGCATGGAGGTGGTGATTGTATTGGTGTTTCCATGGAAACAGAGAGTTGTAACACACATCACTGCCCAGGTAACAGTTTTGATGGAACCCAGATTCCCAGTGTTGCACATGCTTTTTCCCATCCTATCCCATTTTAATCGCTTATTTTTAATAATCAGAAAATAAACAGTCACACTTGACGCATAAACAATAAATGTGGTAGAAGTTGACAGATATAATGCCTTCAAAAATTATCTAAAATCAAGTTTTTTTACAGATTGTCACAAACATTTCTGCATTTACAGTAATCTTTCATAGAATTCAAGTAGCTGTTGATAGAATATTACTTGAACTGGCAAGTTGAAAGGTCATATGGAGGGGGTGGAGGCATTTTGGTAGTATAAAACTAAAAAAGATATTATCTTCTAGTCAAGTTTGGCTGTCCAAGCCATAAACTTGAAGCTTTCATTTTTTATTTATGCATTTATTTATTTTAATCCAATTTAAATGCTGGTTGGCTAAAGTTGCTTTAATTTTAAAGAAAAACCTGTAGTTTCTGCAAAAATTACAAGTGTTTTCTTTGCTTAGAAATTAACCAGCAATTTAATTGGATCACACAAAATACTGTATACATTAACGCTAACTTGCATAGCAACCATAAATTTTGGCTTCAGTTGACGGTGTGTGGTTAGAATGGGCAGATTGGACGGATTGTTCTATTTCTTGTGCTGTGGGTTGGCAGTCAAGGAACAGAACTTGTCTTGGACCTTTCTATGGTGGTGACAACTGTACAGGAGATATATCTGAAGTACAAGACTGTATGTTGGTAGAGTGTCCTGGTAAGTCCTTTTAAATGTGATTATAGTAAATTATCTCCCTTTACTGAATCATCTGAAAATGTCTTTTTTATTTGTTTGATCAGGTTGTTGATTGCTTTCTGTATGAATTATCAAAATGACTTCTGTCAAGATAAAAAAATAAAAACTTCATGAAAACTATTGATCGTCAGTGTTATTATATTCTTACAACTTGCAGTTTTGTGTACAGAAAAATGCATTAAAATTGTATTCAATTTTAGTTTTTTTTACTTAATCACACCTATATCAAATGAACCTTATTAGATTTTGTCATTTATTTTTATTAACCCTTTATAGTTTTAATCAAGATTCAAGTTTTGCATGTTAAATTAGAGCAAATTTTGATGAATATTGATAAACTTTTTTCTAAGAGACACAAGATTATAGGTTAATAATTCCTGATTAAAATATGGCATGTTTTTTAGTTGATGGTGTGTGGCAGCCCTGGTCTCTGTGGGATAGCTGTAATGTTACCTGTGGGGGAGGAGGACAGAGTAGATATAGGACTTGTATACAACCTCAGTTTGGAGGTGCACCCTGCAATGGATCAGAGATTGATTATAAAGATTGTAATACACACAACTGCCCTGGTAATGCTTCTTATACTGAAACATATATTTGCCAGAGATATCATAGATCGTCTACAGTTGATAGCATTGCACTCATAGAAGAATATTAGCACACACACACAAAATATAACATACAGTAAAATTATTATATATAGTGTACTTGATATATGAAAAATAAATAAATACATGTATAGTACATGTATAATCAAATTTTGTAAATACTCTTTTCTAACTTTGAATATGAAATCTACAGTAGTTTTTTTCTGTTCATGAAAAATATTTTGAGACGGATACTAATAATGAGCAAAGGAGCAGGAATGATAAAAGCAGTTACCGTAGAAAGGCTTGTATAGTCCGCGGTTTTATTCTCCAAAATCGGACCTTCCAGACGGGGTTCGGACTATAGAGTAAAATAAGCAAGAAATAAGAGAAAAAATTCAATTTCGCGGGCGAGGTGGTTTGTTTACGTTCCGCCATCTTGTTATTTATATTGTAGAGGGCGCTCTTATCATTTTTCAAACTAATTATTTTAACTCATCCATATTAAGTTATTTCTATTCAATATCAAATTAATACTGATTAATATAAAAACTAAACCTTTCATTACAAATTTCTCGTTTCTTTTCAATGCATTGGTTGAAAGAAAATGGTATCTGCTTGATTGAAACGATACAAACATAGTGAAAAAGACAACCGTAAACCAGCTTAGAATTTGTAAACTACAAAACGTAATCGGTTATTGTTCGTTCCGTTTTGGTGTTTCATACTGACTAATATGGTTTATATTAGCTTAAGACCCTTCAAACATTAATGTGATATATATACCAAAGACTGTTTTACAAAAGGATGGAACTGTTTTACTTTCAAAGTCGTATTATAGTGATATCTGTTATGTACGGATTTCGACTCTCACTGGTCAATTTCTTCTTTTACACATGCTTTTTAAACTTCCTGTTTAAACATACACAAGTTTCCAAATTGTTTTTTAAGTGAATCAAACTTATTTTAACAATCATGAAGCGTTCTAGAATCATTTACAAGCAGTTTCAGCTTCTGTTTGATGATGGAAAACAGGTTTTTCCAAGAAAATACCGCAAACGACCGCACAGGATTTGAAATTACCGGAGTTTCCTTTTCTAACAGTTACAAAAAGTTTTTTTACCTAAAATTTCGTGGGGAGAAGGGGGTGCGGACTATGTACCAGTGCGAACTATACAAGCCTTTCTACGGTATTTGTCCCTTTGAATTACAGAAAAGGGAAAATTATTCTATATCCTTTTACATTGTGTTTAGTTTTGTAATAAATGAATGGGATGATAGAGTCATTTTAGTAGTTGGATGTCATAAAGATGTGCAAAATTGACATAGTCGACCAAAAGAAAGCCATTTTATTTATACTTTTTATAAAAATAGATATGAGCAACAGCTGTACAAAATAAGATAAATGACTTGCAACAGCATCTTTTTGCATGACATCCTAAAGCAATATGGTTCTTTAGGGTGGGAAGAGTTTTGCAGATATCTATATTTTGATGGCAAATCTCAAAATGAGATGATAATTTTCCCTTTGATTACAAGAAGATTGAAGGCCCAAAACAAATATGTATTACAGAATGTTCTGTGTCCATTGGCAAATATTTCATGTATATTCAGGACAGATCAAATTAATTAAACAAAACATGAATCTCTGTAAAGCATGTTGGCTGGGATGAAGGATGGGAATTTCTACTTTCAGGAGGGGTATGTTAGATAGGAGCAAAAAAATTGCCTTGCAACAGGTCACTATCATACCCCTCAAAGAGCTGTTGCAAGGGTTGCTTAACATGCTGGAAGCTTGGAACACTCCCTAAAAGAGGCATTAGATTAAAAGTCCCAATCATTTGAACATCCAAAATATGTCCCTCTATATAATGGTTTTATTGCCTAATTGGAGAAGTCCAGGGATAACCTTATTATTATACACCAGTCAATCCTTTGTTAGACAAAAATAAATAATTTGTTCATGATATTTAACAGGCTAATGTCATTGGAACAAAGAAAAGATGGAAATGAAAGATTTCACATGAGAGTTTTATAATTATTTCTCAATTTTCAAGGGGTCAAAAATTGCTTTATTATATCTTTTCCTTTGTTTGAGGAGTTGAAGAAAGATCTCGTCTCACCAAAAAATTAAACAAGTACATTTGTACATACATTTAATGCACAAATATTAGAATGAGCAAATATTTTATTTTTTAAATTTCTTACTAGGTTGCAGAGTGGTTTAATTTTGTTAGATTATAAACGCTCACTTATAAACATATATATAACAAAATCACAAAGCTAAATAGCAGTTCAAACATATATTGAAAAGATAATTTATTTTAAATGTTAATACTAAACAAAATTACAAATTACTGTAAAGTGGTATTTTTTTGTGGAGTCTGAATTCTCTGATTCTTATAACCTAATCTGTTCAGAGGGTTAAATTTTGTGTTTTTCTTGTACCTGATTTTGTTCTTCTTTAAAAGTCAAATTTACACAAGAGAACATTTTCACAAATTTAACTTTGCCAAGAAATTACCAATAATAATAATAAAGCCTCAGCAAAATTTTCCACTTTATAATGTTAGTATAATTTTGTATTTACAATAAATAATTAATAAGAAGGTTATAAAATATTAGTAAATAATAAAATTATGGAATTTGTTAGTGTTTAATTTTTATTTCATAATTGCATATGAACTTTTAAAGCTTAATTAGATTAAATAAGTTAAAAATACAAGTATTAACAGAAATACCATAATTTAAACATGTTTAATTTTCTGTGATAGTTGCAAAAACAAAGAAACAATATTTAATTTTACTATTTCAAATAGAAGACTTCTATATTGATGAGTATTAAGTAACACTTATTGAAATATAATATACATAGTGAATGGTACTTGGCATGCATGGAGTAACTGGACTGATTGTACAACAACATGTGGTGGAGGACTCCAGACAAGAAATCGGACCTGTGAAGAACCAAAATATGGGGGATTTTATTGTGAAGGCCCAGATGAGGAGACAAGAAATTGTAGTACTCATAACTGCCCAGGTTTGTTCAGAGTTCATATAGTGAATGATTACAGTTTGTATTTGATTTATGATTTTAAAAGTGAAAATCAAACATTAAAACTCTTCTGTTAATTTTAGAAATTCTTCTCTTCCAAAAATTTGCAACCTGAAGTCATACTTGTTTTTTTTCAACCATAGATTTTTGCGATGACTATTATAAATGCATTTACTGATATAACTTTCAGAAAGACAAACAAAAATTCTACAGTGAACAATTGTATTTTAATTTACAGTGATTTTGCTAGCGCTTGTCATTTTCGTCATTTACGAAAAGGTTTTCAAAATGACGAAAGTATTCCAAATCAATTTCGTCACTTAAATTTGGAAAGAGTAAAAATATTTTCGCATGAAATTAATATAATTCTACCTGTCTTATTGTTTCTGACAAGTTTATGACCCTCAGCTAATTAACATTTACAACAGGTGTTACAAGTTATGATTACAGATAATCCGCTTATCGCCATCGGATGGATCACTAATCCGTTAATTATTTATCGACCTCATAATTATTTTCCCCAGTAAAATCAGTCAGTCGGCATTTCAATTTCAATATTTATCAAACGAGAACAATTTGCAGTTCTTTTGTCGTAGTTTCGTCATTTGAGTTTTCCCTCGGACCGTTCGCATTTTAATTTCAATATTTCTCAAACGATCACAATTTGCAGTTCGCTTGTCGTAGTTTCGTCAAATGAACGTATTTTCGTCATATTTGATACAACTTTTAATCAAAAACTTTTGACAATTTCGATTAAGAAGATAGAACTTTATTCATAACATTCAGAAATGTTTCCACGAGTCGAACAGGTGCTTTCTTTACGATGAACTGCGCATGTGCGAAAGTATTCTTATGAATTTAAAGACACTAAAACGTGAAATACAAATAATTAACGAGAGAGACAAATATAGTTCTTATTTAGCAAATTTAATTTAAAAAATGATGATTTCCTGTCTTTTTTAAACACGAACAATCCGTAGATGAATCCGGATTCATTCTGAATTTATTATCCACTTGTCACTTCCCGTTTTCATTTCATTTGGAAATCGAAAGTAAACGTGATCTATTCATGATAAATTTACAATTTAAAGTCATTAGAATTGTTCCAATGAGGATTTGTACAAATCCTTGGTTCCAACTTTATAGAATTAATTCTAAATATAGCTTTAAAACGTTTTTAAGGATAATGAGTATGAATAATGCAGTGAAATAGTCCTTACAAGTTCATTTATGCTGTGATTCCTAGTTTTAAAAAAATGGATCCCAACTTTTGCTGATTAGGAATGTACCCTGAAACTAACTGAAGTGAAATTGTGAACTAGATTTCTAGATCTTATATCCTTATCTTCGTATTAAAGTGCCACATCAGTCAAATCATGCAGTAACTGCCTAGTATGCCTAAGTCCTTCAAAGTCTGACAAAGATGTATAGATAGTAATATACAGCCTAGGTCCCTTGCTGCTACCCAAAATAAGGTTGATTTTCATTTCGCGCAAAAGTGACTAAAGTCCTCAAATTCCTAGCTTAAACCCTGAATTTTTTTTAAATGGTTTTTCCATTATATGTATAATCTATTTGCACATTTTTAACATAAAAATTGTATATTTTAAAAAATAGATTTATGACTTATCTTTAGATTGTTTAGTTTTTAAAATTAAAAAATATTTTTTGATTGTTTTTTAAAATTAAAAAATCTATAAAATAACTTCATTTGTATTAATTTAAAAAATCTTATTTGGTGTATTTTCTTGGAATGGTGCATTATCCCACTTCTGACAACAATCTTCATATTTCATTGCATGAGAGTAACCATAATATTGAAGAAGACAGGAGCACCAAAAAGTCATCAGTACTATAATTTCATTATATGAAAAATCAATTTCACATGATATTTGTAATTGGACTTTTGGTCTTTGATATCAAATGGATGTTCAAAAAGCTATGTTACATATGTTATTCCATTATATCCTGTTTCTTTTCATAAGATTTTCATCATGCTCATTTCTGCATATCAACTTGTTGAGTAAAATGATTTAAATGTTATGTCTTGAGGATTTTTAAAATGTTTACTCTCTACTGTGTTTGATTTTCACTAACATTTTATATTCAACATATTTATATTAACTTTGCATGCTACCCTAATATTTTCCCTCCAATAATCTGCAGTGTTGTTAACCATATATGGTAAGTTCATGACTCACTGCTTATTTGCAGTGATAACACAATGAATTGTATTTAAACTTGTATTAATGTACTTTTGTTAGACAATAGTTAAGAAGAAAAGAACAATTGTATTTTAGTATTATTTAACTTATAAATTTCCAGATTTCCTGAAAAAAAAAGATGAATGGAAAAGAACTAATATTTTCAAACAAGTCAACTGAATGTCGTTAAGTCTAATTCATACAATATGCAAATAATAGTGAAAATACAAATTTGACTATATTTTCTATCACTGGTGAGTATTTAGTAGTTTGTTGGAAGCACTGTTACAACTCCTCCACATACACACTGTGTGCTATGACTAATGGCATTAAATGTGGTTGCAGTGTATTAGTGTAGTTACACTTGTTTGCTGTGATTTGACTGCACATGTGGTTTTGTAGTTGATGGTTATTGGGAAGATTGGACTGATTGGGCAATTTGTCCTGTCACCTGTGGAGCAGGAAGTCAGAACAGGTCTAGGACATGTGTCGAACCATTGTATGGAGGTCATTACTGTGATGGGAATAGCTCTGAAATCCAAGATTGTAATGTACAAGACTGTCCAGGTAGGTATTCAAAGTCTAAAAACAATTATTCTTATATCATTGCAAATTATGCAAATGAGAATTGGTCTTAAAGTTTAGAAAAAAAATTGAGTCATTCAAATCTATAAAGCATGAAGGTTATATATAATAAACTATTAAACATAGATGACACAAATTCATTGCTTCAACACTGACAACCTTTTAATACTTACTGAAATTTTTTACAGTATAATGTTAATTGAACAACCCCAAAACTTAAACAATATTTAGTTGTCTCTGTTTTTTTCTAGTCATTATTATCATGTAAACCTTTTGTTCTTATAAGTTTAGTAGCAAATAGATAATTTTAATTTTGAAGTTGATGGTCAGTGGGATCTGTGGTCTGACTGGTCAGATTGTACATTAACCTGTGGATCTGGTACACAGATGAGGAATCGCACCTGTGTAAATCCTAAATTTGGAGGATCTTCTTGTGTAGGGGATAGCACAGAAGAACAGTCTTGTAACACACACCACTGCCCAGGTAAGTGGACAATCACACATAAGAATCAAACAATGATTAGAGGATAGGTAAGGACTGAGATTAGAGGATAGGTAAGGACTGAGATTAGAGGATAGGTAAGGATCATATTAGAGTTCAAATGAGGGTATGAAGTCATAAAGAAACAAGGTAGTGTGGATTCATTATTATTCTAATTTTTGTGGATTTCGTGGGTCTTAGTGAACCACAAATTTCAGTGTTCAACAAAATACAAATTCCCCATAGGCTTGTTTGTAGAATTTTTTTAAACCACAAAATCAAGTATCGACAAAATTACAATTTATCCTCAATCAACGAAAATTGATACCCACGAAAATAAATGAATCCACAGTAGTTACATTGTTGCTTTATATGGTTTATCCCCCAGCAGATAGTAATGAGGGGAGGACAGTGGGTACCCTTCTCCCACGTCCCGCCCCTTATCTCCCACCTCTCACTTTTAGAATCTTTTTCTCTCCCACCTATTTTTTGTCTCCAACTCTCGCCCCCCACCTCCCACCTCCCTCAAAAGCTGTACACCCCCTCAGTAATACAGCTGTGCTATTTCAGTTACCCAAATGGTGCCTTGTATGTAATAATTTTTCTATCACAGCTGAATAATATTTTGTGTTACTGTATTACATGCTAAACATTCTACCTTTATATGATATTTATGATATTCCACACTGTTCATACAATGTTGATGAGAATATTTTGTGGCACTCAGCTTTTGTGTATAACTGACCTCTTCACTTGATAATATACACAGTGTATACTTACATCAATCTTATAGTTATATTCTATTTAATTTCACTTTTTTATGCCCCCGCCGCGTAGGAGGGGGCATTAAGTGTTACCCTTGTCTGTCTCTACGTCTGTCCGTACGTACGTCCCCAGAATTGGTTTCCGTTCTCTAACTTTTGTTTGCCATAACCAAATGTTATAAAACATATACACCATGCTTATTACCTCAAAAATAAGATCAAGTTCGAATTTGGGTTGCATCACTTTTACCCTTCTAGAGTTATGTCCCTTTATAAATGGAAAAATTGCAGAATTTTTCGTTTCTGTTCTTTAACTTAAGTTTGTCTCAACCAAATGTTATGAAACTTAAACAAAATGCTTATTGCCAAAAAACACAGATGAAGTTTGAATTTTTTCCGGTTCTCTAGTTATGTCCCTTTATAATGCTATATGCGTCTTCTATGCAAGCGGGGACATCATCTGTGTCCCATGGACACATTCTCCATTTATTTTTAATGTGACATCATTGTAAGTGTTGCTGTACACCTATTGTGTTTCATTCAAAATTATGACCATATTGCATTCTGTTTCATCATGAATAATCAAGCTTGAATAATCTAACTTACTTTTTATGTAAATTTCAAATTTGAATTGAATGAATTGTATTCTTATAATGCAACATTGCCTAAATCAAGTTGTCTTTCAAACTTAAAACCAATTAGTTTATACATTTTAACAAATTAGGGCATTGAATTTTTAAAGGGCAAGTGTGAAAGATTACCATTAATTGTCATCTATCCATACACTATATCACTATTTGTCTGCCATTACTGGACATCAGAAAGGTTCCCGTAAAATTGTGAGGTCACAATAGAAAATGTCTGACACCCCAAAGGAAAAGGGATTGTTGTATGAAGTCCATAGTTCAAGTGTTGCAGATTCTCTGGTCAAGTGTAGCAGATTCCCAAATAGCAATAAGGTCTATTGTCATCATCTCTGTAATTGTTTTTGTGAGCCCATAAACTTCTTGGTAAATCTACACAATCTGGACAGATATCCCTTGCTCCTCCCTCATTTTAATACTAAGTGGGGTTTTACGATTATTTATTTGAATTTGGGGGCTCAAATATTTGTTATTACATAGAATTTCATGTAAAGTGCTTGTTTTTCAATGCGTCTTGAATACGTATGAATAAACTTTAAGACAAACAAGATTAGGCTGGATATAGACAAAACCTGTTCAAAAAATGTTTTTATGCATTTTCAAACATTTTGTCTGCTTGGTAAGGCCCTTTAAGCTGCCAAAGCACCATACTTTAATAAACAATTTTTTTTTTATGTAAGTAGAAGAAAAATTGCCTTTTCCAGTAGACAAAAAAATAGATGTTCTTTTTCAACTGCATTTTAAGTCAACTTTTGTTGCATGACCATGTATATTGTTTTGGCTTGTATACAATGCTGACATTTCTGGTAACAGGATCTGATACCAATTTATTTTTTAGTATGTGTAGTCTTCAAGAAATAAAATATGGAACACCAATGGTACCCTATGGAAAATGCATTACAAATGATATTTTTTTTAAATTAACAATATTAGATATTTGTTACAGTGGATGGATATTGGCTAGAATGGACAGAGTGGGATGAATGTTCTGCCTCTTGCGGTGATGGTGAACAGTCGAGGAACAGAACCTGCATGGAGCCCCTGCATGGTGGTAAACCATGTGACGGAAACAAAAACGAAACAAAACACTGTAACATTGCAAGCTGTGCAAGTAAGGAAGAAATAATCCTATCATACACTGTGGATTCATTTATTTTCATGGGTACTAATTTTCGTGGATTCAGTGAAACTTGCATTTTTGATGTTTCACTAAATTCTGCATATAAGCCTATATAAATCTGTATTTCTTGGACATTTAGATTCGTGGGTTGCCAGTATCCACAAAATCCACAAAATTTGGTATCCAACGAATGATAATGAATCCACAGTAGCCATTTTGTTTAAACATCCTGTTATATATATCCGAAATCTGAATCGTACTTGTTGTATCAATTTGTATCATGTATATTTCAAAGTATCTCACTATTTTATAGACGTATAGAACAATTAGTAATACAAGCTTTATATTCACATTTTATACAGGTATTTATCATAGTTTTCCATGTTTTGCTTGAACCTTCCTGCTTTTCTGCTTAGTGTAAATGTTTTATACATCACAAAGTGAAAATAGTCCCTAAAAAATTTAAACCTGAAAAACATAATATGAATTTTTGAACTTAATTTACAATAATAAAAAAAATTTTTATTTATCAATTTAAATGTAGCTGTTTACTGAGAAAAAAATGTGATTGAATGTGATAAATCTATGAAGTGAATTCAATTTGTGTTGAATATTTAGCATGTTTAGAGGGGAAACATCCTAATTCATGTTTTTTTGCAACAGGTCAAATTTATTTTAATTTCAGTAAAAGTTTTGGAAAGAATTTCTGGATGGTCAGAAACTTTTAATAACAGATGTTTGCTTATTTACTTCCATTTGTAGATGTGTGTGTTCCTTTATTAATATTTGCCTGTCCATCCTTCCATCTATGTATTCATTTGTGTAATACACATTTCGATTGCATTTTCTTCATTAAATCACATAATGTGTTCATACATGTATTTGGTACCAAGTTTTTATATGGTTAAGCTAGACTATTATACAAGTTTTGACAATCCTTGCTCGAAATCCTCCTTATACTTGACATGTATAAAATTTAGCCTAATTTTTCTCAGAAAATACAAATCAGAGATTCTAGATATTTTGTTACCAAGCTTTGTCTTGTTAAGGTTTCTGTATCAATGAACAGTAGCTGACCTGGTGCATTTTATAGCTTTTGTTGAAATTAGAAGTTTACTACTTGACCAGTTGCAAGAAAATTGTGATAAGGTCAGAAAAATTATAGTCTTAATCTATTATTTTTTCATTTATTATTTGTTTCCCCAAATATTTTTTTTCTTTAAAAAAATAATGACCATATGCACTTCAGATACTTTTTTCTTTGTACAGAAATATATTTCAATAAAAATTTCCTACATCATCCAAACCACATTCAATATAAGATGTCTACCTCTGTATTTGTTGTTGTAACCAATAGATCACACAGCTTTTCACTGCTATACCTAGGCTTAAGATTATTATGTTTAGTAGTAGAACATTTATTTAGTTGACGGTATTTGGATGCCATGGACGGAATGGTCAGATTGTGACTTGACATGTGGAGGTGGGACAAGATTCCGTAACAGAACCTGTAATGGACCTTTTTTGGGTGGAGAGGAATGTAATGGAACAGCATTAGAGACAGAATTTTGTTCAGTAGAACCTTGTCCAGGTATAAAACTTATGAAATATAAATGAAGGCAAGAAGTTGCTAATGTACAAATTTGTGAAAATTTCTTTAAAATTGTTTAAGAAATGAGTTAAAAAGGTGATTTTTAAAATATATAAGTTTAATATGGTGTGTGTAGGGATGTTTGTGTTTTTGCCTTTTAATGGACAACTTTCTGGACTTAAAAAAAATTGAGTTATTTACATTCTTGTCCATATGTCTTTGGTGGATAGTTGTCTCATTGGCAATCATACTGTATCTCCTTATTATCTCATATGCACTATTATTCTAATCCTTTCCTGTATTATCCACAATATGTACTGTGTACTGATTTCACTAAGAGCAAACTGATCATGGTGGATTCAATTCCACAGAACCTTTACAATTTTTTAAATAATGTGTAATTAATTTTTTTATAGTTGATGGGATGTTTACTCTGTGGATGCCATGGACTAATTGTGATGTCACATGTGGAGGAGGGTCAAGGTCACGTAAAAGATTTTGCAATGGACCATATTATGGAGGAAAGGATTGTAATGGCAGTTTATTTGAAGTAGAAGACTGTTCAACAGGTCCATGTCCAGGTGTGTCTTAAATGTAAATTATTTGAAAACTGGCTTAATAAGTCTCTTTGTTATTTGGTAAAGTTCTTAATGCATATATTGCAAAAAACAAAAGTGCTGCACTTATGATAATCTAACATTATAGTTTGTCTTGTCTTTTTAATGAAGTATTCAGTCATTCAGCTTTTAAAAAAACTTCTACCCTTTTGGCCATTTTAGGTCATGTTTTCATGTGGTTTTTATCATAAAGGGGGGAGGACATTTGAACGCTGTTCTTTTATTTTTTATAGACATTTTCTAATAAAGTTTTATTGTAAAATTTGGACCATTTCAGTTGATGGAATATTTACGGAATGGACTATTTGGCAAAGTTGTCCTGTGACTTGTGGTGGAGCAGAACACCAGAGAGAGAGAATGTGTGTTGGACCATTCTTTGGAGGAGCAGATTGTGATGGTGATGATATAGATAACAGAAGATGTAATGAAAATCCATGTCCAGGTACGTTTCAGTCCTTGGGCCTCAGACAGATATGTGTGCTATCAGTATCAATTGTGAGGATTTTATATTCTTGTTAGAATTAGTGTTGTCCTGTAAGCATCAAGTTTGAGTATGTTAAGATCTTGTCAGTATTAGAGGTTTGTTCTACTGGCGTCAATGAGGAATTGACTTATCAGTGTCATACATGATAATATGGCAATGTGACATTTGATGATATATCATATATTTATCTAACCTACCGATTTAAAAATTGTATTTTAGTGTGTTTTTCTTCAATCTTCCATCTGAATGTAATATATATATGTGTTTACAGTACCCATGTAGGTTGTCTATTTGAATGATATCAGTTGAAAGAAATACTGAGAAGATTCTGCTTTTGGTTAAAGCATAGTGTTTTATTCATGCTTCCATCTTTACAATTTGTATTCAATGTCATTGCCAAAATATATAAGAAAGAAATATGCCTGTAATGTATCGAAACGGAATTGCTTAACACTAAGGAGGCTGTTAATTGTCTTTGAGTCAATGTTTTTCTGTTGTCATTTTGGATGTTCTTGAGTGTGCGGAAGGACATTTAATGTCTCTATTGGAGTGTGAAATAGTGATTATTTCTTTGCTGAGTTGAAAATTTATTGAATGGTTTTTCGGCATCAAAACCTGCGGATCAATGTTTTGACAACAACATTCAACTTTTCTATCAATGTCGGTATTTACCTTTAATCATCCTTGGTGTGTGCCGTAAATAGAAGCTGTATCGAGAAATAAATATCCTATCACCTACTTGTTGATTGTTCAGTCAAACGATTATCACTTGTTAATTAGCCAAAGGCTAGATCAAAGTCTACACATGTTGTGTAATCAAGAAATGTCAGTTACACCAGATACGTTGATACACTCAGGTTTTTATACGACCGCAAAAAAATTTTGTGGTCGTATATTGGTATGACGTTGGCGTCGTCGTCGTCGTCTGAAGACACATTGGTTTTCGCACTCTAACTTTAGTTTAAGTGAATGGTTCTCTATGAAATTTTACCGTAAGGTTCAATACCACAAAAGGAAGGTTGGGATTGATTTTGGGGGTTATTGTACTAACAGTTAAGGAATTGGGGGCCAAATAGGGGCAAAAAATAAGCATTTTTGTAACTTCCAGATATAACTTGTGTGTTAGTGTATGGATCTCTCTGACATTGTACCACAAGTTTCCATATCACAAAGGGAATGCTGGGATTTATTTTGGGGGAAATTGCTTCAAAATTGTAGGAATTAGGAGCCAAAAAAGGGACAAAAAACAAGCATTTTTCTAGTTTCATGACAATAACTTGTGTGTAAGTGTATGGATCTTTCTGAAATTGTACTACAAGGTTCCATATCACAAAGGGAAAGCTGGACTTGAGTTTGGGGGTAATTGCCTAAAATGTTTAGGAATTTGGGACCAAAAAGGGGCCAAAAAAAAGCATTTTTCTAGTTTCCAGACAATAACTTGTGTTCAAGTGTATGGATTTCTCTGAAATTGTACTGCAAGGTACCATACCACAAGGGGAAGGCTGGGAGTGATTTTGGGGGTAATTGCCTCAAAATTTTAGGAATTAGGGGCCAAAAAGGGGCAAAAAAACAAGCATTTTTCTAGTTTCAGGACAATAACTTGTGTTTAAGTGTATGGATCTTTATGAAATTGTAATACAAGGTTCCATATCACAAAGGAAAAGCTGGGTTTGAGTTTGGGGGTAATTGCCCCAAACGTTTAGGAATTTGGGGCCAAAAAGTGGCCAAAAAAAAGCATTTTTCTAGTTTCCAGACAATAACTTGTGTTCAAGTGTACGGATCTCTCTGAAATTGTACTGCAAGGTACCATACCACAAAGGGAAGGCTGGGATTGAGTTTGGGGGTGATGAATCATAAGGGGTTCAAAAAATTTGAGGGGGGATTTTTTTTTCCTTTTTTTTCTTTAAAATTTTCCATTTTAAATTGGTTATTTCTGATTAATATATAAAAGCAAATAATAATGATATGGTTTGAATAGGTAAATTAAAAAATTTTAAGTTCTTAGACCACATTCATTCTGTTTCAGAAACCTATGCTGTGTCAAATATTTAATCACAATCCAAATTCAGTGCTGTATCAAGCTTGAATGTTGTGTCCATACTTGCCCCAACTGTTCAGGGTTCGACCTCTGCGGTCGTATCAAGCTGCGCCCAGCGGAGCATTTTATTAGGTCTTCAAAAATAAATATTTGTAAACAGCGTAGTAAAAAATGGCTTCTGAAAATTTTCATCATGAAATTATGGATACACAGGATTTTTTTCTCTTCAAGGGTAGCATCTCCTGAAAATGGGATTATTGTACTCCCGTCAGGATGTTCACATGTTTTCATTTGAACCTTCTGCTCCATATTTCCCAGTCCAAAATGTAATTGAAATCCAGAAGATTTTGTCACCTTTCACCAAAATGTCTTTATTTGACCGAATAGATAAAGATATTTTTTTCCTGGTTGAAAAATTGGAGTCAGATGGCAAAGAAAATCATCATCTATATAAATTATTTTTTGCTTTTTAAGTTGATGGTCAGTGGAGTCTGTGGTCACAATGGGCTGACTGCACAGTCAGTTGTGGTGGTGGTTCAGCAAGACGATATCGTTTCTGTACACCTAGTACTCATGGCGGAGAAGATTGTGAAGGACTTGGTGAAGAATTTATGGAATGTAACAACCAGAGTTGTCCAGGTGATTTCATCAATGATTAATCTTTACTCAAAATCAGTTCTAAATTTTAAATTGAGTTTTTCAATCATGAAAATATATATGGTAAAAATTTGTAATCTCAATTCAATCAAAAAGGCTTTGAACTTCAGATCAAGTTATTGAGGTAAGAAAAAACTTAGGTACAAGCATTTAACAAACTGATACCAGTAATACATCATATTGAGTATATTTCAGTTGATGGAGTGTTTGGAGAATGGACAGAATGGTCTGACTGCACCAAAAGGTGTGGTGGAGGGGATATGTATAGAAACAGAACCTGCATTGGTCCATGGTTTGATGGTCAGCCATGTGAAGGACAATGGAATCAAACTGCTGGTTGTAATGAACATGATTGTCCAGGTAATAGTTCAAATATAATAAAAAAAGGCTTTGTCCTTTCACATGTTTTGTAAAGTTCTGATCAGTTTTGGGAAAAGCCCATTATAAGTGAAAGGTTGTTAATATATGAAGCCAGAGCAGTGTAATGAAAGATATTCTTAACATCCAATCCCAGTGATTGACTTTCTGTCTTCTTTGGACTGGTTGATCTGGAAACTTCTGTAATAATATATAAAGTGTTACCATTAACAACATGCATTATATATTTTTTTGAAATATTTTTTACATTATCTTGTGAATTTTACTTGAAATGTATGAGAAAATCTAATCCTTATTTTCAAATATTTCTATCATGCAAACCATCTAATATATTGTGATCTGTTTATCTAACTGTTGATGGTTTTACAGTACATGTATCTATACTTTATCTGTCTGTTTTATAAACATAAGTTGTTTATAAAGTTGACATTTTTAACCGCAAACTTAAGATTTTTAAGAAACAGAAATGATAATATCCAGAAAACAGACAAAGCAAAGTTTTCCTACAATTGCAGTTTAATGTTATTGGGACAACTGGGATACATGTTATGTGATTTTTTTGTAACATACCTCTATATGTCTTTTGTTTTTTATGCCCCCGCCGTAGTGGTGGGGCATTAAGTTTTACCCTTGTCTGTCTGTACGTACTTACATATGTATGTACGTCCCAAAATTGGTTTCCGTTCTCTAACTTGAGTTTGCCTCAACCAAATGTTATGAAACTTATACACAATGCTTATTATTACAAAACACAGATCAAGTTTGAATTATGGTGGCGTCACTTTAACCATTCTAGAGTTATGCCCCTTTATAAATGGAAAAATTGCTAAATTTTTAGTTTCCGTTCTCTAACTTAAGTTTGCCTTAACCAAATGTTATGAAACTTATACACAATGTCTATTACCACAAAATACAGATCAAGTATGAATTTTGGTGGCATACTTTAACCGTTCTAGAGTTATGCCCCTTTATAAATGGAAAAATTGCAAAATTTTTATTTTCTTCTTAATATCAAGTAATTTTTAAAATTGGAGTTATTGTCCTTTGTCCATGATTATAGTTGAATCAACTACAATCAATGCTTTATACAATGCAATGTTTAATTTTGACTTCCACTGATAAAACACAGATCAAGTTGAATTTGGGTAGTGTCACTTTAACCATTATTGAGTTATGCCCCTTTATAAATTGAAAGATTGCAAAATTTTTTGTTTCCATTCTGTAACTTAAGTTTACCCCAACCAAACATTATGAAACCTATACACAATATTCATTACCACAAAACTAAGATCAAGTACAAATTTTTTGTTTCCGTTTTCTAACTTTAGTTTGCCTCAACCAAATGTTATGAAACTTATACACAATGCTTATTACTACATAATACAGATTAAGTACGAAATTTGGTGGCGACACTTTTACCATTCTTGAGTTATGTCCCTTTATTAACATAAAAATTGTTGAATTTATCGTTTCCGTTCTCTTACTTTAGTTTGTCTCAACCAAATGTTATAAAACTTATACACAACCGTTCTAGTGTTATGCTTGTTTACAAATAGAAAAATTGCTGAATTTTTAGTTTCTGTTCTCTACTTAAGTTATCCTCAACCAAATGTTATGAGACTTACACACAATGCTTATTACCACAAAACTCAGATCAAGTTCAAATTATGGTAGCGTCACTTTTACTGTTCTTCAGTTATGTCCCTTTATAACTATATGATATGCAAGCAGGGGCATCATCTATGTTCACATGTGGATACTATCCACATTTATTTTGTCTTTGGGTTGCTGCCTCATTAAAATATATCTCTCAGCTCCCATAAGTATTAAATGTAAAGGGCTGGCAATTAGAACTGTCCTTACATTTGTAGTTGATGGTTACTGGGACAAATGGAAGGCATGGGGTGTGTGTAATGTGACCTGTGGCGGCGGCATTCAAATAAGATTACGTGAATGTATAATGCCACTCCATGGAGGCCAGGGATGTGATGGCTCTAATACTAACAGTCAAGAATGCAACACAAACCATTGTCCAAGTAAGTATCTTGTTCAGCTAATTTTTAAACATGAAATCTCAAAATTAAAACAAATACTACCAGTAGTTAAATCTCTGTCCCTTTATTGTCCTTACTTGATTATAAAAATAGTATTAATTATTTAACTTTTTTAATATATGTCATATATGTTTATGTACAAATTTATCCTGCATGTTGACATGGATGAGTTTGGATCCATTTGTCATCCCTTTTGGTTTTATATTTGTACATGTAATCCGTATCTGCACAAATTCTAACTCAGAATTATACAAAACTTTGTAAGACATGAAAAGGATAAAATCCATTATTTTGAAAAATGTTTGAGAGTACAACTGACCATACCAACAACCAACTCCTTCAGAAAAAAGATGTGCAAAAAAAGACAAAAAAATGCAACAACAGTCCAGATAGCATGACTTGGTACAGGCAATAATGTGTGCAGCAGGGTCAAACCAGTTTTACGTAAGCAAAAACCTCCCACTTTGTCTATCTAGACCACATGACAAAGTTAACACAATAACAAATCTGCACAGTAAATCTATTTAAAAATTATATAATCAAATGTGTTGAAGTATTGTAAATGTAAATAGCTGAAAATCTACTTTGATTTAAAAAATATATTACATTGTTCTTATCTTTTTCTTACAGGTTAAATAATAAATAAGGTTTTTAGTTGCAATAGTTAGGCAGATTGTTTTTTTTTGAGTTGCGATTTAAGTCATTTGTTAACCAACGCTTCCTTGCATGAAAGATGAGATAGTAGTGAAATAGAGTAGATCACTTAGTTACATAGTTTAATGTGCACATATGTTACACATTTAGAGTTAGAATACAGGGTTTAGTTAGGTTGTAAATAACTTAAACACAAGTATGAGCATTGATTTTAGAAAATGTACGAAATATTTATACAATTTGTTTTATATATTTGTATGCAAAATTATATTGAATTAGAAAAGGAAGATGTATAAGAGAAAATATTAAAATTATTTCAAAATAATAGCCATTAGATATATAATCAAACCACTTCAAAATGTTAAGTTATAAAGCAAATTGCATTACCTATAAGTAATACATGTATATTTCTTTTTTCTTGATCCTTATGAATTAAATGTGTTATGTATCAATCAGTTGATGGAGAGTGGAAAGAATGGGGGAAATGGAATCACTGCAGTACAACATGTGGAGGTGGTATACAGTCACGCAGTAGGGAATGTATTGAACCACAGTATGGTGGTGCTCCTTGTCAGGGGAACAATACAGATTATATGTCTTGTAATGACTTTGAGTGTCCAAGTAAGTCAGTGAGCTTGCAAGTATATGATAAAATGAATTTGTTGCATATTTAAAATATCAAAGGTTAAGTGATGACATCAAAGACTTTCTGAGTTTTAGGGAAATATTTTATCTTTAATTTAAAAAAACAACTTAGATATACTGTTATACCCTTAAATATAATTTTTAAAGTATACCTGTTTTAAAAATGGATATGTACCAGTTCAGTTGCAAGTTTCTCTAAATATGTATTAAGTTTCCTGATTATATCATGAAAAAATTGGATATTTTTCAGTAATTTTTAGAAAAATAGCAATTAACTGATTTTCAAATGCAAAATCTCATATTTTGTTTTCTGTTTCAATATCAAACTAGTATTAATTTTATTAAGTAATTTTTATAATTTGATACTAAGTAATAAAAAGAAAGCATCAATTTGATACCATATCAATCAATATCATTCTACTTAAACAGATAAAATGTTTATTAAATGTTTATCACTGTAAAAAGTATTTTAACTGGATTTTTTCTCTCAAGTTGACGGTGTATGGAATGAATGGGAGCCATGGAGTGTATGCACCTTAACTTGTGGAACTGGGACACAGTTTAGGAATAGAACTTGTGATGGTCCTTACTTTGATGGTGCTCCATGTAATGGGAGTGATTTAGAAACACAAGACTGCAATACACACCACTGCCCTTGTGAGTAAATAGATTGTTTACATTAATATAGACAGAAAAAGATTAAATGTTTTGAGACTTTAAAGAATGAAGAAAGAAAGCATCTGTTCAATTTAATTTCTGTAGCATTTTTCTTAGAAACTACAAATAATAGCTTCCTGAAATTTGTTATCAGGCTTTATATCAGCATGCTATGTATAGATGAGGGGCCTGATGGGGGGGTCTCATCACGATTCACGAGTTGATTTTTTTGTCAATCACGATTCACAGAAAATAAATTTCCATGATCACGGATCACGAAAATATAAAAAAAAATAAAATCTATAGAAAAACGGATCACGATAGCGAAAATGCGCCGATCACGAAGAACGAAAATAACCCATCAGGCCCCTCATAGATAATCTGTTTTTTTACACATCAATATAATTTTTCTATGGAAATACAAATAAGAGCTTCCTGAATATGCTATCATACTTTTTGTGAACATGCTTAACCGTGTAATCCGTGGGATATACATACAGAAAAATTTGTATGGAATTTTTTGAGATTTCAAATTAACATAAAATAGAAATTGCATTTTGGATGGAATATTTCAATCATTATAAAAGGTTATCAAAAAGTGATGCAGCTTCACACATATTCTTTGCATTTGCTACAGTTTGATCACATTTGGTTGAAAATTCTTCAGTTTTTATACGCCCCGTCAAATTTTTGACGGGACGTATTATGGTATACAAATGTCCGGCGTCCGTCCGTCTGTCTGTCTGTCCGTCTGTCCGTCTGTCTGTCCAGCGTAAACATGTCGCACCGTAACTTGAGAACGACTTATCCAAATTTCATGAAACTTAACATAGTTGTTTCTTATGATGGTCAAACGATCTGTATACTTTTTGGTGAAAATAAGATTTAAACTTTTTGAGTTACGGGACTTAGTAACTAAAACAGGTGTGTGTTTTTTTTCACATGTCGCGCCGTATCTCAAAAACAATTTATGATTATTGCTTAAAACTTTACACACTTCTTAGTTATATTAATCTTAAGATCTGTATACTTTTTGGTGATGATTCAAAATTTTATTTTAGAGATATTGAGTATTTTGTTAAAAAAGGGGGAGGTTTTTTCCACATGTCGCGCCGTATCTCAAAAACAGTTTATGATTATTGCTTAAAACTTTACACACTTCTTAGTTATATTAACCTTAAGATCTGTATACTTTTTGGTGATGATTCAAAATTTTATTTTTGAGTTATTGAGTATTTTGTTAAAAAAGGGGGAGGGGTTTTTCACATGTTGCACCGTATCTCAAAAACGATTTATGATTATTGCTTTAAATTTTACACACTTCTTAGTTATATTAATCTTAAGATCTGTATACTTTTTGGTTTTGATTCAAAATTTTATTTTTGAGATATTGATTTTTTTTTTTTAAAAGGGGGGTTTTCACATGTCGCGCAGTATCTCAAAAATGATTTATGATTATTTCTTAAAATTTTACACACTTCTTAGTTATATTAATCTTAAGATCTGTATACTTTTTGGTTTTGATTCAAAATTTTATTTTAGAGATATTGAGTTTTTTGTAAAAAAAAAAGGGGGTTTTTCGCATGTCACTCTGTATGTCAGAAACTATTTATGCTTATTGCATAAAAATTCACACACAAGACGACGGGCGTATCATGCGCTCATGGCACAGCTGTTTATTTTTTTTACCCATATGAGACTTATCAAAGGTTACAGACCTTAAAACTGTTGATTGAAGACCAAACTGTTTGAGTTACCATATGTATAGGATAATGTACAAGGAATCAAGGACGTATGTTAGTTATACGTCCTTGAAGGAATGCATTAAAAGTACTATTATGTATTGTTATTTTCAAAAAGAGCAAAGGGGCTGAGATGAAATATAATATGTTGCCTTTTTATTGAGACTCAGTAATTTTTAGGTTATTATCAACTAGCAAAAGTACTTTTTTATTAACTAAACCATAGAATTTGATATGCTAAACATTTTTTTCATGGCTTTGTTTTTTAGTAAACCTCAAACAACACAACACACTTTAGAATCAAAGAGAAAACAAATATTCAAAATCATAAAATATAGCATCAGTGTTGTATCTGAAAAAAATGAAATTGATGATAGTGTAAGGTAAAAGCAAAAAGGACAGGTGAACTCATAATAAATGTATAAAGACATTCTTATGTGCTTGATGTTAAACATTGCAAGAGTCTTTAATCATTCAAACCAAACTACAATTGCTTGCAACTTATAAATCAGTTTTATAAAGAATTTGAACAATTGATATGGTAATTTAATTTGCACAATAAATCTAATTAAGAGAAAGAGTGGGATAAAGTAAAAATCATTTCTTGGTTGTGAAAGCATTCATGCTATGATATGTAATCAATCTTAATCAATTTAAATTATTTAGTGAATGGAATCTTCAGTGAATGGAGTGACTGGTTCCTGTGTAGTGTAACTTGTGGTGGGGGAGAGCAGTGGAGGAACAGAACCTGTAATGGTCCATACTATGAAGGTGCTCCCTGTGAAGGGAGGTATAATGACTCACAATCATGTAATGGGCATGAATGTCCAAGTAAGCTATGACTTATCTATAGTATACATTTATCAAAGTGGAAATATTTTAACAGAAAATATGTTCACTTACAACCAAGGAAAGGAAATATTTTTAAGAATATAACATCAACTCATGTAGTTAGGGAGATGGACTTATATAAGAGCACTGCTCTTGTTTCCTAAGCCCATTTTTGAATTACTTGTATATTTCATATTTATAATTTCTTGTAGCTATACATTACACATTTTTTGATAAAAATATGTTTACACTAAACTCAAGTTGTCTTTCTGGATACATAAAGTTAAAAAAAAAAGAAGACAAATAGGGTACCTACCATACTATAGGAAAAAACAAAAACATTTCCTTGAAAATTCATTATATGTTGTTTTTCTTTGTCAATCTGCAGAAATTTATACAAAATGATGGTCATCTAGGTGGACCTTGAATACAAACCATTGTGGGTTAGTTAACAACCATTATAACAGTTAACGAATAAAATTCAAACACAGAATCTCCATAATTGTAAAACAACAAGTGTTGGTACCAAGTATATTTTTATTTTAATTAAAAGTGTTGGCTTAATCCTGACCGGTAGAATTCCAATGTTGAAACCATCAGCAGCCAGAAAATTAAAAATAAAATAGATAGGAACTACAAACTATGGTGTTTTATATCAACTGAGCAAATACACATTATGTGTTGTTGAAATAGAATATGCTGAAACAGCCAAACTGTCAATTTCCAATGGAAGGTTGAGATGTGAAGAAAACTTGAGAGCTTGAAATACATTATGCTAAATAGTATATATGAAATAAATGAAGTTCAATAACACAATTTAATTGTTTAGTAGAAGAACAGTTTCAGTTTTAATGTTTAATATATTGTATTTCAACCTTTGGTAAAAATGTTTAATATGAGTTTATAATATCATAACCTAAGAGTTTCATAGATTTATATATTTGTAGTTGATGGTGTGTGGACCAATTGGACTAATTGGGACACATGTAACGTAACATGTGGTGGTGGTATGCATTGGAGATACAGATCATGTAATGGACCTTTCTTTGGAGGGGCTAACTGTTCTGGACCTGCAGAAGATAGTCAAACATGTAATGATCATCCTTGTCCAAGTAAGTGTAGCTCTAAAAGCTTCAAGTTTGAAGTATATATATGGGATACAATATATACATTATTCCCTTATTTCAGCTGAAACAATGTTTGATTTTAACAGTGATTATTTCATGTCAGCTTTAAATTTGATTATATATTGTTCAATTGAAGGAAATGCAAAAGGGAGATAATTCAATAATTTATGAAATTAAAAAAAAAAAGATTAATAAGAAATTTGGGAAGTTTTCAAATTATGTAATGAGCTAACTGTCAATTGTCTAAATATTAATCCTTCTTCCAGGCATTTTTTAAATGTAACTTGTGTGAATTGCATTATAGTCTGCTGTATTAAAAGCGTGATCAACGCTAAATTTTCTGTTTGATATGATAATTACTACAAGAAGTCGAAATAAAATGTATCAAGGGTAGATAATAGTTTATGTATGTAAAAAGTACATATAGAAAAAGGACATTCTTCTTGATGTAAAAGAGAAATGGAGGCAGAAAAGTGAAAGATCTGTTTATACATTGATTCCAATGTTATTTGTATTTCAGTTGATGGCTATTGGGATGATTGGAATAATTGGGAATCATGTAATGTCACATGTGGAGGAGGAGTACAACAGAGGACAAGGACATGTGTGGAGCCTCTTTATGGTGGAGCAGACTGTACAGGCCCTGATACAGACTATCAAGATTGTAACACACAGAACTGCCCTGGTCAGGACCATAACAACATTCATACTTTCTATTTCAGCTTTAATAACCCAAATTCTCTTTCAGCATTTTGTTAGATTTGATAAAATTGTTGAACTATTGGAAGGTTTAAATTAAACTTTATCTTTTACTTATATTTGAGAAAATTTTAATTTATTACCAAATTCAAATTAATTTGATTATTTAAGTAAAAGTAAATTTACATTTTCTATATCTCACCAATGTATAATCACAGCTAACCTTGTCTAGCTTTATACAGCATCGTATATCTATTATGTAACCAGCTTACTCCACTGCAGTATATATATATACATATTCACTAAGTATATTATATAAAAACACTAGTATGTATATTTCACAGATATATTTGTGAAAATTAATACTCTTTAGTAGTGACAACAGTCACAAAAATGTAGTTTGGTTGTAACCGCTCTATATATTAGCTTTTCGGTACAGAACCGTCCTTTGAAAACCTTCAGGCTTGTACACATTATGTATTATGCTTTCTTTTCATACTGAACAGATGTAACCATTAACTATCCAAACTATCTACAATTATGGACAGATATATGCCACCAACCACCTATCAATCCACATTTTACATTCTGTCTTCTTTTTATATCATGCTCCTTCTAGACAAATGAAAAAGTTGGAGAAGCATGCATACCACATTTTCTAATCTGCCCTCTACATTACCATAATTATGTTACAACTGCATATAACATGTACTCTGCATTCTGCTAGGGATTTTTTTTATACCTTTCTGAATCTTATGAGTTTTTCAAATCCTAAATCATAATTTATTAAGTATTTTGAATAATGCATTGCCATGTGTCTGTATTTCAAAATCTGTCAAAATCCCTTGCTGCTTTTCTTCCATCTTATCATTCTAGATGATAGAATGTGTACTCTGTACCTCTATATATATATCCTGTAGTATTTTCAGGTTACTCCTTTAGTGACTATACAAATTCTCTATTCCTCCTGCTTTTATTATCATAAGTAACTCCCTGTGTACATTATTTACATGCAGGCTATTATTTTCCACAATTTTTAGGAGTTTGATAACAATCATGAAAAAGTCAGTGTAGGTCAACTAAAATCAAAACATAATTTTTTGAAGCTGACCTTAATAAAAAGAACATGAGTATGATAGTTCAAAAGTTTGCATAACATTATGTTTAAAAGATTAAGTTACCATAAGTTAAGTTAAGATAAGTTTTGATAAATAGAAAGACCTGCATAACTTTGAAATGTAGAAAGTTTTGATTAATTATTTAATTGATAATGAATAAATTTTAATGACTATGAGTAAATTTTCAAATCTTTAGCAAATCAGATGAATAGAGTTTTCTTCTGTTTTTCATATTTTTGTATGGGGAAAATTTTGTTTCATTTTTAGAATTAAGGAAAAACTAAAATAACCTCACCCCAAAAAAAAAACCCAACATATTGTGACTTATTCATACTTATAATATATGAATGAATAACCATACTGGACTTGGACAATTAAAATGAGAAATGAAGTTACATTCATTTTACATTTAACCAAACATTTTTTCAGCCCTAGTTCTTGTAATAAGTCTGGTAAATTAATCTATTTTTTCATTATTATACCCCACGCAACGAGTTGCGGAGGGTATAATGTTTTTGACCCGTCCGTCCGTCTGTCCGTCCGTCTGTCCGTCCGTCTGTCCGTAAGTCCGTCAGTCCTGTTTCTTGTCATCGCAACTCCTCTCAAACCACACAACAGAATTTCACGAAACCTTTTTAGATAATAAGGACATACTATGTAGTTGTGCATATCGACAGGAAATTACAATTTAATTTTTTTTCTAGGAGTTACGCCCCTTTGAACTTATTTACTTTAATGTACTACTGCAACAGTTTGTCATCTCAACTCCTCTGAAACCACACAACAAAATTTCATGAAACTTTGTAGATAATAAGGACATACTACGTAGATGTGCATATCGACAGGAAATTACGATTCAATTTTTTTTTCTTATACATTTTTTTTTTCTTACAGTTATTTTATTTCTCCAGTGACAATGTGGGGATGTGGGGTATGTGAGCGTGCTCACTAAGGTTCTTTAATTGTTAACTGATTCAGTACAACTGTTGTTTTAGTCTTGCAGTAAAATAACCTGCAACTCTGGAATGAAATACATGCCTGAAATTTATTTTTTCCCAAAGTGGTATCTGAATTTCTTAATGCTAATTCTGTGTGCATCCAGTTTAAAGTTATCTCTTTGTACCTGTACTTCAGACTTTCTACCAACTTTTTTGTACCAGTGCTTCAGAATTTCTACCATGGTTAATACCTCTGATCTCCTTGTATTGGTAAGTGATTTTCAGTTCTGATTATCAACGTGACTTTACATCTACTTTACTAATTCAGAAGGCTTTCACTGTAAAAGTAATACATTTGTATTTAATAACTTTCCCTAGCTTAATTTTTGTTTCTTTCCTTCCATTCTTGCTTTGATTTTTGATTTACCGGTAATGCTTGCTGAAATCCTAGTTCTTTTTCTTCATTGGCTATTTGTAATTTTATGGTGTACAGTTGAAATGCTTCTACCTGGTACATGCTTTCTTCTTTTTTGGTGTCTGTGGCCTAGTAGTCTAAGTTCTTCATCTACAGTGATCACTAGCTTGTCAACACTGAGATTGTCAGTTTGAACCACACTTGTGGAAGGTGCATTAGACCCCGAAGGTCATTGGTTCCTTCCAGGCATTTCGCCTTCCTACACCAATAAAAAAACGGCCGCCATGATATAGCCAATAGTGCTGAAAGAGGCATTAAGCACCAACAATCAATCTATTAATTTTCTACAACTGGGCAAAAGGAAAGAAAGGTACCATTATTTGACTCTACATGTTAAAATATTATAAATATGAAAAAAATTATGTTAGGCATACTGAATAAAGGAACTTGGAATTGGCATATTCTCCTGGTTTGAATTTCAGTGCTCTATAAGTAATTATTTTCTGCTGCTAATCCAAATAATTGTTTAAGATGAAAGCGACTTGATGTTATCCGTTCTGATGGATTGAATAGCATAGAATGGTTTAATTTTTTAACTTTTTCCTTTGGTAATATATGTCAATACACTGCTCTTATAGAAAACTATTAGTTTATTGCAATATGAATATTACTGTCTAAATTATACCAGAATATTGGTGATCAAATTTGACAAATAGCTGATTGGCCTTTCCTGAGTACAATATACCACTATCTGGTATAGACAAAGCCTGCATTTCACAATTTTATTTGTTGCCAATTTATTGAATTTCTAATTTCTATCTCAATTTCATAAAGTTGCTCAGCTGAGGCTCTTTCAAACCATAAGGACCAGTTATGTTATTATTTTTAATGAATTTATGACGATTATGCCAATATAAATAATATCCATGTAAAAAATATAAACATCCATTGTTGGTATCTAATTATTGTCTGGCTTTGACGGAGTCAGAATAATAAACATCCATTGTTGGTATCTAATTATTGTCTCGCTTTGACGGAGTCAGAAAGCGAGACTTAGGTATGATGCTTCCGACTGCAGCATCATTGGCGGCGGTGTCAATAATGTATTAGTTTGTGATTAGGTCAGTTTATGGAGAACCACTTATGGTAGGTCAATGATATTTGGTATGCAGTTGTATTTGTATTGGCACATCTCATTCCCATAGAGGTTACTTGGCCACGCCCTCTCAGTCATGGTCTATTGACTTTAAAACTTTTGCTTAGTTTACATGTATTAGTTTGTGATTAGGTCAGTTGATGAGGAACCACTAGTGGTAGGTCAATGATATTTGGTAGCAGTTGTATTAGTATTGGCACATCTTATTTCCATTGAAATTATTTGGCGCACCATCCTCAGTCATGGTCTATTGACTTTGAAACTTTTGCTTACTATACATGTATTAGTTTGTGATTAGGTCGGTTGATGGGGAACCACTAGTGGTAGGTCGATGATATTTGGTATGCAGTTTTATTAGCATTAGCACGTCTCATTTCCATGGAGATTATTTGGCTCTGCCCCCTCAGTCCTGGTCTATTGACTTGGAATGTTTTGCATAGTTTACATGTAAAAGTTTGTGATAATGTCAGTTTACAAGGAATCACTAATGTTTAGCCAATGATATTCTGTATGCAGTTGTATTAGCATTTGCAAGTCTCTTTTCCATGGAGATTATGTGGCCCAATCCCCTCATCATAGTTCATTTACTTTGAAACTTTTACATTGTTTACAAGTTAAAGTTTGTTGTTTAGTCAGTGTAAGGGGCACCACTTATGATAAGTCAATGGTATTTGGTATGCAGTTTTATAAACATTGGCATTTCTCATTTCAGTGTAGGTTATTTGGTCCTGCACCTTAAGTCATGGTCCATTGACTTTGAATGATTTGCATAGTTTGAATATTGCCATTTGTATTCAATATTTGCATTATACTACCAAAATTACAAAAGGCGAGACATACCTCTGTGTCAACAGTTTATGGATTTGTTACTTTCTAATATTAAGATTCAGAAGCTGAATAGTCTGTGTTGTTGGTTGACATCTTTTTATACATAATACTTCAGCGGCTCAGCCAATGACTTCTATGTTTGGGAGTAGACATTTGCTTAGGTCTTTTGTAATAATATCAAGGTGCATTTGAACTTTTAATATGTTACAATTTGACTTTTATTTGATGATGATCTTCGATTTGTTTTACTCTTAAGAATTCCAGTTTCCTCTAACAAAAGATGCAATAAAATCTTATACATACATAGAAAATGGTGTTAAAATCTGTCAAATTAATGGGCTAGTTGCATATGATTACTAACGCTGCCTAAGCAGTTTATAATTTTATCTTTTATTTTGATATTGAAGCTTTTTTGGTAAATTTAATTTGATGTGCTTCAGGTATGAATCTATGAATATGATAATATTTCAAAGAGTAATAATCTCAAGTAAATTACTAAAATGATTCATTTGCTTTAAATCTTGTATTATTTTACATGACAAAGTATTGAACTTATATTCAGAAGCTTTATATATATAATAAGTGTTACTTTGTAATTTCTTTTTATCTAAAGAGTATATTGCTGTTGAAGGTGCATTATTATACAAAACTTTTGAATCTTGTTTATTTTCCTAATCTAATTGTTAGCTAAGTTAGAAAATGAATATTAAAATAATTGACTCATTCTCCTAATCTAATTGTTAGCTAAGTTAGAAAATGAATATTAAAATATTTGACTTATTCTCCTAATCTAATTGTTAGCTAAGTTAGAAAATGAATATTAAAATATTTGACTTATTCTCCTAATCTAATTGTTAGCTAAGTTAGAAAATGAATATTAAAATATTTGACTCATTCTCCTAATCTAATTGTTAGCTAAGTTAGAAAATGAATATTAAAATATTTGACTTATTCTCCTAATCTAATTGTTAGCCAAGTTAGAAAATGAATATTAAAATATTTGACTCATTCTCCTAATCTAATTTTTAGCCAAGTTAGAAAATGAATTTTAAAATATTTGACTTATTCTCCTAATCTAATTGTTAGCTAAGTTAGAAAATGAATATTAAAATATTTGACTTATTCTCCTAATCTAATTGTTAGCCAAGTTAGAAAATGAATATTAAAATATTTGACTCATTCTCCTAATCTAATTGTTAGCCAAGTTAGAAAATGAATATTAAAATATTTGACTCATTCTCCTAATCTAATTGTTAGCTAAGTTAGAAAATGAATATTAAAATATTTGACTTATTCTCCTAATCTAATTGTAAGCCAAGTTAGAAAATGAATATTAAAATATTTGACTCATTCTCCTAATCTAATTGTTAGCCAAGTTAGAAAATGAATATTAAAATATTTGACTCATTCTCCCAATCTAATTGTTAGCCAAGTTAGAAAATGAATATTAAAATATTTGACTTATTCTTCTAATCTAATTGTTAGCTAAGTTAGAAAATGAATATTAAAATATTTGACTCATTCTCCTAATCTAATTGTTAGCCAAGTTAGAAAATGAATATTAAAATATTTGACTCATTCTCCTAATCTAATTGTTAGCCAAGTAAGAAAATGAATATTAAAATATTTGACTTATTCTCCTAATCTAATTGTTAGCCAAGTAAGAAAATGAATATTAAAATATTTGACTTATTCTCCTAATCTAATTGTTAGCCAAGTTAGAAAATGAATATTAAAATATTTGACTTATTCTCCTAATCTAATTGTTAGCCAAGTTAGAAAATGAATATTAAAATATTTGACTTATTCTCCTAATCTAATTGTTAGCTAAGTTAGAAAATGAATATTAAAATATTTGACTTATTCTCCTAATCTAATTGTTAGCTAAGTTAGAAAATGAATATTAAAATATTTGACTTATTCTCCTAATCTAATTGTTAGCTAAGTTAGAAAATGAATATTAAAATATTTGACTTATTCTTCTAATCTAATTGTTAGCTAAGTTAGAAAATGAATATTAAAATATTTGACTCATTCTCCTAATCTAATTGTTAGCCAAGTTAGAAAATGAATATTAAAATATTTGACTCATTCTCCTAATCTAATTGTTAGCCAAGTAAGAAAATGAATATTAAAATATTTGACTTATTCTCCTAATCTAATTGTTAGCCAAGTAAGAAAATGAATATTAAAATATTTGACTTATTCTCCTAATCTAATTGTTAGCCAAGTTAGAAAATGAATATTAAAATATTTGACTTATTCTCCTAATCTAATTGTTAGCCAAGTTAGAAAATGAATATTAAAATATTTGACTTATTCTCCTAATCTAATTGTTAGCTAAGTTAGAAAATGAATATTAAAATATTTGACTTATTCTCCTAATCTAATTGTTAGCTAAGTTAGAAAATGAATATTAAAATATTTGACTTATTCTCCTAATCTAATTGTTAGCTAAGTTAGAAAATGAATATTAAAATATTTGACTTATTCTTCTAATCTAATTGTTAGCTAAGTTAGAAAATGAATATTAAAATATTTGACTCATTCTCCTAATCTAATTGTTAGCCAAGTTAGAAAATGAATATTAAAATATTTGACTTATTCTCCTAATCTAATTGTTAGCTAAGTTAGAAAATGAATATTAAAATATTTGACTCATTCTCCTAATCTAATTGTTAGCCAAGTTAGAAAATGAATATTAAAATATTTGACATGTTTTACATGTTTTCTCTGTTTTGAATCAATTTTCCATTGTTCCATTGAAATTATAACAGAATTTTAAATAACTGTAATTGGTAAATGTATAAAAATTTTAATGTAAACTTGGACTGTATTTAATTCATGAACTTGATAATGTTTTTCTCTTTGCATATTTACTCACTTTTGTTAATTGCCAGTCTTGCTAATAATTTAACATAAAATTTATATGAGTTTGAAATCCTATATCATATCAATGAACTTTAATTATTTAAACTTAAACAAACATGTTTACAAGTTCCAATTTTGTAGTTGATGGATATTATGAAGATTGGGGACAATGGGAAAATTGTACTGTTACTTGTGGAGGAGGGACAAAAACTAGAAGAAGAACCTGTATAGAGCCAATGTATGGAGGTGCTAACTGCACAGGCCCCAGTGAAGAAGATACTGACTGCAACACAAATTACTGTCCAGGTTAGCTCTTATATAGGACAAAGAAACAGCTGCTCCCTGACTATGGTTTCAACCTGGGACTATTATACTATAAGAATAATAGTTCCAGCTTCAATGTACAAATAATAATCTTGCAGACACAATAAATCTAGTTTTGTATAAAACTTAGTAAAGGTTACTTTAGTTTGCCATATCTAAGAAGACCAGACAGGTTATTATTTCTAACATGAATTCAGTTTTTGTCTCGCCTCTATGAATTTAGAGAGGCAAGGGGACTAAAGCATGGTGTCTTATCAGTGCCATCAACAATTTGTTTAAGTTTGTGATTAGGTCTCAGTTTAAGGGGCACCACTAATGCTAAGTCTAAATATATTTGGTATACAGTTGTATTAGTACTGGCATATCTCATTTTCATGGAGATTATTTGGTACCACACCTTCAGTCATGGTTCAATTACTTTTGAAATATTTGCATAGTTGACATGTTATAGTGTTGCCAGTTTAATTTCAACATTTTCATAATGCTATCAAATTACATACAGGCGAGACATATCTCTATGTAAACAGTTTAGTGAAAATTAAGGACTGTATGAAAGTAAAATATGAAAGTAAAATCACATCAGAGACCCTATTACCATGGTTTTGGACATTATTAACCAAGTAATGACTGTCTTATTGGTGTACATAAAAAAGAACATGTAATGTGATTGCCAATGAGATAACTAACAACCAGAGACCATAGGATGAGGACGTAAACCTCTATAGGTATAGAACCACTAATTCAGGCCCGGTCGGAAAGAACATACAAGAAAGTAGTACATATTTTAAACAAAATAGTTCCTACGCATAGCTGTATCTTTGTCAATAGTGGGAATATTTGGGTAGTTTTAGTATCAAATGAAAGCTTGGGGACTTGGGGTCACTGTAGAACCCTTGTTGAAAGTTTTATTTGAATAATAAAGAAGTATAGGAAATTTTAATAGGAGGGCTCATTTGGCCTGTTGTTCAGATCAGAAGTTCCTGTTTTTGTACTATCAAACTTCCGGGAACCAGTACGCTCTAATATGCAATTAAAGGTATGTTGATTTTTTCAGCACAAGTCAGCATAAGGTACAGTTTTGACATGAAATAACTGCCACTTTATTTGAACTTAAGATAAAGTAGCCATTTATGCTTGAAATTGCAGAATTTAACATAGAAAGCAATGGGGCTATAAATTAGTGGTTTTATACCTATTACTGACAGGCATGTGAAATTCTATTTTTAGAAATCATACCCTTTACAGTGAAAATTGGTCACATTTGTTGTCAGAAATCATGTTACATTATTTTTTTTATGTAACAATTATGTTAGTGTCAAATTACAGCCCTCAAATTGCTACAATAAGGTATTTTAGCCTTTTTTGGTCATTTAGCATGCACACAGTTAAGATTTTACCTAAAATTTAAATTTTTGGATTATCTAACACTGAAACCAATGAATCTTGTATATCATGACTAGTTTATAGTATAAATATTGTTTTTGGTCAAATTATCTAGTGAGTGTTCATGTTTTATTGTGTTTCTTGGTGAATTATTTATTTCAAGGAAAATTGGTGTATATTTATATAGGAATTCCAAAATCTCACTTGAAATGCATTTTATAACCATTTTAGCAAGTTGTCTAGCTTGGAGATACATAAATTGCTTTGTTGATTCATTTTTATACATAAAAGTATGGTTTTTTTACCTAATCACTCTCCTTTTCCAACATGTAGAAAAAAGGGGGGACAAAATTATCAATTATATTTTATGTTTGGACAACTGTATTTATATTCAAGGAAGAATCTCTGATAAAAATAAGACATATAGGTAAGAACACTGTTATTTGAGTAGATATTAACAAATCAGAACTGGTAATAATTGAAAAAGTGTCATATCTGTCACTATTAGTATCCATATGTAGTTTTCTTTGTTTAACGCATATGTTACTACCAGTCCAATTTGAGCTTGAATTCAGTGATATAGTGTTTTGACAAAAGCTTTATGTGTTTTTCTATGCTAGAAATAGATCAAAGAAGTAAATTAAGTCAAGCAGAAGTCAATATAACAAGTTTGGTGCTGTTATAGGTATAGAACCACTAATTCAGGCCCGGTCGGAAAGAACATACAAGAAAGTAGTACATATTTTAAACAAAATAGTTCCTACGCATAGCTGTATCTTTGTCAATAGTGGGAATATTTGGGTAGTTTTAGTATCAAATGAAAGCTTGGGGACTTGGGGTCACTGTAGAACCCTTGTTGAAAGTTTTATTTGAATAATAAAGAAGTATAGGAAATTTTAATAGGAGGGCTCATTTGGCCTGTTGTTCAGATCAGAAGTTCCTGTTTTTGTACTATCAAACTTCCGGGAACCAGTACGCTCTATTATGCAATTAAAGGTATGTTGATTTTTTCAGCACAAGTCAGCATAAGGTACAGTTTTGACATGAAATAACTGCCACTTTATTTGAACTTAAGATAAAGTAGCCATTTATGCTTGAAATTGCAGAATTTAACATAGAAAGCAATGGGGCTATAATTAGTGGTTTTATACCTATAGGGCACTGCACTAGCCTTCAACAGCACCAAAACCCATACCATAAAGTAGGCAGGCCTTTGGATGACAAAATGTGAAAAAACAATAAGGCAACCAGTAACCAACACTATGCATATAAGACAATTAACATGTTATCATGTTTAAAAGGGATATGATTTTCTATGGCAGGAGCATTTTATGAATAAAGATGATAACCTGTTAACTACTGTGTTGAAATAAGATTATTATTGTAACATTATTATTGATTACAAAGCATATCTAAGTGTAAGGGTTTTATTCTGAATGGATAATTATTGTACATACTTTATATTTCCTAGGGGTATTCTACTGATTGAGATGAAAAGAGAGGGTTGATTGCTGTAAAACTAGTTAAATATCGTCACATTGAATGCATTACTATTCTGTACTTAACTATTGATTCAGTGCTTGACATTGTTTAGATATATTATTTTGTTGAAGACAGTTAACTGACCAATCATAGATTTCTTGGCTTTTATGTTATTTTAAGTTGTCAAATTGCTTTTACATTGGCATATATCCCAAATCCTCTATTATTTATGTCCAAGGAGCTGGAGTTCTAGAGAACTACACTGTTATCCTTTTTTGAACACAGAAACTTTATATGCTTTGTGTTTGTATTTTAGTTGATGGTATATGGAAGGTGTGGTCTGATTGGTCTGACTGTACCACTACATGTGGGGGTGGAACCAGTACTAGAAATCGAACATGTACTGGACCTTATTATGGTGGTGCAGATTGTGAGGGTGTAAGGATAGAAGACAAAGTTTGTAACACTAATCCTTGTCCAAGTAAGTCTAAATACCACTGTCAAAAAAACAGTTTTATGCATATAAATAAACAATGAATTTGATTTTGCTTGTTTCTTAGATTTATCGTTGAATGTCAAATGTGCCCTTTTCACTACCATTAGTGTAAAATGAGCCTTAAAATGTTGGTGTATGTCACATCATATTTTTAGGAACTGTTAGCCTCAAATTTGTTTGAATGTTTAAGAAATAATTCATGCAAACCATAGATTTGTTGGAAATTTTCACATGGCCCTGTCCTCTTGTTTATTCAGTCAAGGCATGGAACAGTTAGAAAAAAGGAAGACTGAACAACCAGTTTGACAAGATTGTACCTATATTTACAATAGCTATCAAAAAATTCATGATTCCCCTAACAAACCAGCAAAATTAAGTTTCATGCATTAGTACACATTTAATAGTTTAGATATAATTGCATGAATAGTTAATAGTTATAGTTCTCTGTGCAAGTTTTATATCCATTAAAAAATTATTTATTTATTAAGATTATATGTATACAGTGTTTTTCTCAGAAATTTCTTATATCATGATCCAGTTAACTGGGAATTATGAGAAACCTTGTTTCTAGAAATTATAGCATCACATCCATAACACTATCTTTAAGAAAATCATTTCAGATAACATCACATTCTAGCACTATAGCATTATATTACCATGATGCTAAAAAGCACTGGGGAGAACACTTAGATTCCAAGTAATGGTAATTTTTGCCAGGAGTGAAGAAATTTTGTTTAATATTCTTTAAAATTTGTCTCTTCATACATAATACACTTGTAGCAATTATCCTCAACGTTAAACAGTGAATAAACATTTATTTGTAAAAAAATCTGTAAGCTTTAAAGTCTGAAGGTCAACGATCAAATGTAAAGGTGACACAATGCAATACAAACCTTGCTCATAATAAAACAATGATTCCTATTCAGCTATGAGATGGCATGTCAATATTCCAAAAAATTATCTGCCTACATTCCATTTAGGATTTTTTGTTGTAGGCAGGGGAATTCTTATCCTCAAGATGCAGTAAGATATATTTGAATAAAAATATAATCAATTGTAGCATGAGTCTAATAGAAGGATCAGCTTTATGTAGTTTTACGATAAGAAATTTCTTTTATCTTTTTATGAGAAAAGGATTATAGCTGGTGTCCCCTCCCCCTAAATTAAAAAAGGATTACCATCCAATCTCATCAAACTTACACTGAAAATACACATACAAAGTGTCACAATAGATTGATACTCAGATATTGATTTTTTTTCTCAAACAAGGTTACATGTAGATTTCAAAACTGCATTCACATCATTATAAAGGTTTTTATTATGAAATTACAAATTATAATTCTTGAATTGATATTGACAAAAACTTTCTTAATTCCAGAATATAAAATGGAAGACTTTATTACAGGATTATTATTTATATAAAGATTTGTCATACATTTCACTGTCACCAACCACCAATTATTCTTATTCACGTACCTTACCAAAGCAAACCAAAACCCCATATACCCACCATTTATATGATTGTTGTCTTGTGTTGTCCATTATTGATTGATCAGTATTTAACATTGTATTAAGGTGGTACTTAACACTACAGGGAGATAACTCTGTAAAAATCAGCTAAACGTTTTAATCACATTGTATTGTTAAGGAAATATTAAGCTTCTCAATGATCAAAATTAGTGTTTGTCAAACTGCTATATAACCAATGAAATTTTTCTGATGAAGTGGTTGGTTCAAATTTTTTGAAATTTTTATATTTTTGTCAAAGGGTCAAAGTAAACATTTTGTCAAAATTTTATGAAAATTAAACGAGCCAAATTAATATTAGTCAAGGTGTTGGGTACCACCTTAAATTCACATTTTTGTATATTCTCCAAAAATTGTAATGATAAATGTATGCAATAATTTCTGAATTTATAGTTTCTGTATTCAGAACATATTTTTTCGAGAAGTAGATAGTTGATGAAGTAGCAATAGATATATATCTTATTTTAATATTTATTTCAAAAGCATATGCGTTCAGTTTTTCTATTCCAACATTAACATTTGTTTGAATCTATATGTATTTTAAGAATTTAAATTAGATATTTTGATATTATTGTAACAATTTTCTAAAATGTATTGGAATGGTTAACAGTAAGTTTATAAATAGTACTTCTGAAGCTCACTTGAATTATATAAAACAAATGTCTCAACTAATTATAGTTAATGGAGATTGGTTTGAATGGGGACAATGGAGCCTCTGTACAGTAACATGTGATGGAGGGCTGAGGTCAAGGTCACGTGAATGTGACATGGAATCCTATGGCAACTTGACTGCAGCATGTGCAGGAGATGCCACAGTAACAGAAGCGTGTCATACGTTTTCATGCACCCCATACGGTAAGTTCTGTATTTAGAGGTAAAGGATTTACCTACGTACTTTGGAAGCCTGTTTTATAGGAGTGAAGTCTGCTGTATGCAAGTTTTCACTATCTAAATTTATTTATTCATAGGTTCTAAAATTACAGGTTTTAAACTAGATACAAACGGTTTTTTTAAACCTATTTTGGCACAAAAGAGAGATATTGATTAATTATATGTCATGCACAGTACTATTTTTTCAGTATCAATTGGTTAGTAGTTAGTATAACATTATTTATAGGCATTATATATTTACCCTTATTACCTTAATTTCTCTATATCTGTTCACATTCATACATATGATCAACTACTTAAAGTTGTATTTGTCCATTTCTCATAAACCCAAGATGATATGGTTCTTTACTAAAAACTCATTTTCAGAAGCAAAATTCTGTTCAAAAATTTCAAGGTTTTAGCAAATTACTTCCCTTGATTGAAAACCATACTAGCTGCCTGTCATGGCAGATTAACTGTAAGAAGAAAATAAAGAAAATTGTCCATAAACAAACACTTTTAGCTTTTTAATCAGCTCCTTTCAAATATTTTGACAGCAATAAGATTATAAGTTGTTATTTTATATGGAGTTTATATAAGCATTCTACAAATTAAAATGATTAAAAGTGGCTATTTTGACTCTATTGCCTCTCAAACCTTCATTACTATAAAGAATCATAAAACCTGCACACAGTTGCACCTAAGTAATCAAGATATCATTCAAGTAAAAACTAGGCATCCTTTTCTTCTTTTATGCTTTATTGATTTTGTTAATATTTTCATATTTGATTTTAATTTCTTGTCCTGTGCATGTATCATGGTTTGCAGTTTCATCAAATGACCCTGTAACTATATATACTTTTGAAAGATAACCTGTGATTTTACATTTACAGAACCACACTGTGATGGTTGGGGTAAACAAGGACTGGTGGACAGTACATTTGCCTGGGTAGCACCTGTAACCAAGTTTGGATTTCAACTTGATGCCGTTGAAGTTTACTGTGACATGGAATCGCATAATGGGACTGGAGTCACTGTCATTGGTTAGAATACATATATGGTCCTAATTGCAATTACTGTTTGATACTTCTGTTTTTCTAATTTTAGTTTGCCTCAACCAAATGTTATGAAACTTGTACGCAATGCTTATTACCACAAAACACAGATCAAGTTCGAATTTGGATGGCATCACTTTTACCCTTCTAGAGTTATGCCCCTTTATAATATTATATGCAAGCGGGGCATCATCTGTGTCTCATAGACACATTCTCCATTTATTTAATAATTAATTTGCAATATGCCAAATCAATCCTTTAGGTGAACATGTAGGCTTTTGCACCTTCTATCAGCAGAATTTTATAGGTTGGAACAATTTTTTTTTTCATCAGAAACCTTGTAGGTACCAACTCCTGTGTTACAGTTTTTTCAGCAAAACAAATTAGAATAAAAGATTCATTTACTGCAAAAAAAATGCACATTAGATTTGATAAAAAGAAAAAGACTGTATTATCAAATCTACAGAACACCATTAAAAGAAGTTTTAAAGTTTTTACCTTTTTGTAAGTCTTTTGTGCTTTGATGTCATTTCCATCTTATTTCAATTCTGATTAGTTACCATCATTGTTTTCCAATATAAAAAAGATTTGCATCACAAAACCTTTTTTTAGGAAAGAAACTTTCATCATTATTCGTCTTTCAGGCCATAACAAAGAGATGAAGACTAGAGTGAGTGGATTTGAAGGATCAGGTGACTACGCCCTCATTCTAACTTATAACATTAGTATAGGACATGCTGCATCCATCATTGATGCATCAGAAAATTGCAGTCAGTTCCTTCAGTGGCAGTGTAAAGGTGCAGTCATACATAACCCAAACCAAGAAGGCCATTGGACGACATTCTGGACTAATCGAACAACCGCTTACATTCCTGATGGCCAGCAAAAGCCAGCAGCTGATTACTTCCCTGGGGCAGTACCAGGTAGTGGGATGTGTGCCTGTGGATCTAACAATAACTGTAATAGTTCTGATGTCACATGTAACTGTGATATTAATGATGCAGATTGGCGTTCAGATGAAGGTTATGTAACAAACAAGGCAGAATTACCTATTGTAGCATTTTATGCTGGTGATACAGGTGAGAATTTAGCTTTAGTTTTTAGATACCTTTAAAGATGGGTTTATTACGGTATAACATTGTCTGTCTGTCTTGCGTTTACTTTTAATTCTTACAATTCTTTACCAAATTTTTACATAATGATATGTTTCCATGAAGTCTAACTTACTTTTAGATTTTGATGATTTTCAGATTTTATTTGGTCAGAGTTATTGGATTGTATTTATCAGAAATAAGCAATATTGTTATTTGTTCGACAATAACTCAAAACATCTTTCATGAATTCAAAATAAAATATTTAGAAATTGTTAGGCTTTATGAAGACAGGCTAACATACCTTTTAATTTTTATGTTTTTTTCAAATAAGTGTTTTCAGAGTAAAAAAATCCATAAGTTTGGTGATAAATCAGGTACTCTTTCAAAGAATTTCAGGGTTTTTTTTTTTTTGCTTTACCACATCAAATAAAAGTAAACTCCCTTATTGATTTTGATTAGTAGTTCCAGAGTAACTGGAGTTAAATTAAGTATGCAATTTTTCACAGGAAATTTCAAGTATGCTTTTCACTAATTCTTTTCAATTTTTAGCTCACCTGGCCCATAGGGCCATTGTGAGCCATTCCCATCAGTTGGCATCTGTCCTGTCGTTGTCATGCAATGACCCTGCCTTTCAACCAAGATGGATGACATGGCTAAAATAGAAAAAGGGATAAAATGAAAGTTTTGGGTATTATCTTTTAAAATCTGTATCTATAGATAGAGAAAATCTGATAGGACAGAAATTTTCAGAATGTTGAGACCTTCCTATTATCAATTCATATCAAAACTGTCAGACGACTTTTTATAGGAGTTATTGCCGTTACAGACAATTTTTACCAATTTTCTACGTTTTTGCTTATTATCTTGAAAACTATAATAGAAAGATAAAAGCTTTTAATAGCAAATATGATCAGCAAGACAATATCTACAAATATGACAACAATGTCTGAAATCGTCGGTTGTCACCTGATTATGAATGTATGAATGTTAACTGTATACATGTATTTTGTTTGAGGGCCTCAATGAAAATTAGACTACTTCTAATTGAGTTACCCTCTCTAAATAAAGAATTTATTATTATTAGAGTTATTGCCCTTTAATGAAAATGTTTACCAATTTTTTGCGTTTTTGCCTATTATCTTGAAAACTATAATATGTGGATAGAAACTTTGAATAGCAAAAATGATCAGCAAGACAATATCTACATCACTTTAGAAATCGTCAGTTTACTCCTTAATGGAATTATGTCCCTTTTAAAATAACAATGTTGACCAATTTTTTTGCCATTTTGCCTATTAATCTGAAACTATAATAGATAGATAGACACTGTAAATAGCAAAAATTATCAGCAAGACAAGATCTGCAATTCAGCCGACATTGCCTTAATTGTCAGTTGACTCCTTATAGGAGTTATAACCCTTAAATGACGAAATTTTACAAATTTTTGAAAGTGAAACTTTAAATATCAAATATGATCAGCAAGACAATATCTACAAATAAGACAACATGTCTGAATTGTCAGTTGTCTCCTTTATTAGAGTTATTGCCCTTTAATGACAATTTTTACCAATTTTTTGCTTTCTTGTTTATTATTTTGAAAACTATTATAATAAATAGATAGAAACTTTGAAAACAAAAGTGATTAGTAAAGAAGATAAAGAGAAACTTTTAAGCAGAAAAAATATCAGCAATACAAGATCAACAAAAGAGAGAAATTAGTTCATGAATTATATTCTACTTTGCATTGTTGGAGAGTGTCCATTGTTGAAAATGCACGTAGACCTAGATGAGTGACACATACTCTTTAGAGCCTCTAGTGTAATGCTATGTTTTATAAGACAAACTACCTTTTCATTTCGATAATTTTCAGATAAGTCTGTCCTGAGCTATGGGACCTAAATCATCAAAACTAGACAAATGTTCATGTGTCTCTAGATAACTCAAGTATATTTTCCTGAATCCTTATGAAATTTTTACCCACTGTTCTATACAATTAGATGTTTATTTAACATTTATTTTATACTGTTGCCCTTTAATCAGTTCTGTTATACTAGAACTCATCCTTAGTTAAAAATATTTTAATGTCTAGTGGAAATATAAGCTTTTTAATTAATGAATGAATTTGACAATAAAAAATTGTGATAAAATGTTTGTATGTATCATTTAATCTGAAATCATTTTGCTTCAATTTTGCATTGTCCATCTCTGACCAGCAGTATAATTATGAAAAAAAAACATGCTTTTTGAACTTCTTCATCTATTTATTAAATGGTGATCTGTGATACTATAACAATTTCATAATTTGAGACATTTATTTTTATATGCCAAATATGCATTCTAATCAATGTGAGGTTAGTATTTCATGAATTTTATTTCAGACAGACTATCTTGTAAAATGCAATATGATTGCTCTAACTAGCAATGTCTCATTACTGATTGCAGAACAGCGTAATGCAAAATCACAGTAAAGTATTATACAGACGCATTGCTGGAAAGCGACATGCAATTTTTATTTCAACAATTCAAATTTATAAACTTTTTTTTCTATCTTGAAATTTGCATTCACAAAGAACTGCAGTTTGATTTCCATCATTTTTACATATTAATTAATTAATTTTGAATTTGAGCTTTACTCTGTTAATGCTTACTGACACTATTTATTTTGTCAATGTTTTAAGGTGGTGCCGAGGAGGATGCATATCATGTCATTGGACCATTAGAATGTTATGGAACAGAATAAATCATCTATCCAATTCCAGGACTCATATATCTGCCTTCATTTGATGAACTCTTTGTGATCATAGTTGTCATTTTCTTTCCTCTTATTCTGCTTTCCAGAGGTTGCATTTATCAATCCTATCTTTAGTCGAAATTAGATTTGTTAGCTATCCTCTTGCACACTCCATTCTTTCCTTTCATACATTTTAAAAACTTTTCGTTTGTGTTATACCTTGTTGAATCCCATATAGATGTTTCACTGAAATAGTTTTTTTTAATTTCTGGATTTGAAAAAGGAAAATATTACCAATACCAATACCGCATATTCATGATTTGTGTTTGAATTTGGAAATATCAATACCTTGTCTGCACAGTACCAAAAGAAAATTGTTTCATTGAACTTGGTAATATTCCAAGATAAGAAGTTGACTTTTTAAAGTAAATCCTGTCCTGAATTTTCAAGAAATATTTTTAACTGGATGTTAAGCAAACAACAATCAAAGGTCAAATCAAGGTCAAGGGTCTATATCTATAGGTTAACACCATGTCACGACAATGTGATAAGGACTTAACTGATTGAAAAACAGTCGATCAATTTTTAAAGCAGAGATGTCAACTCTTCTACTCTGCACATGAAGACAAGGTTGACTTCACTGATATTCAAGGTCAAAGGTCAACCTTACGTCAAATGTCAAGGTTGACTCTTATTCAGCACAATGCCAACGTCAGAGGGTAATTTGTCATATCTCTGGGGTTGATAAATCATTGTATCAACTGAAATCAAAAGTCAACAAATGTTTTATTATATGACTTTTTATCCTTCTCCAATTTTCTAGTATTTGCGAAAGATACTTTTAAAACTGCTCCCTGTTTTTATACTTAATATATCATCTACTTTTGCAGTTGCTAATTTTCATAAGTTGAAATGTTCGATAAAGTTTATTTAAAAGTATAGTCATACAATGATGGTCATTAACGCGCATCAAGTTTGATATACATATTTAGCTTACGGAAGGAAAAACACCTGTTCTTTTTCATTGTGAGTGGTTGAAAGTTAACATATTGCCTTGAAATACTATGGAAAAGAAAATTTGAATTTTTATTATTGTGAGGTGGTTATACTCTTTCATTTAGATGACAATATGTCTGTCGGTACCTGACATTTTTGTTATTAAAAAAAGCAACATTCTTATCTGGTTCATCCTTGCTTTAAAATCTTTGTTCACACCTTCTGAAGTTTCATTGTACCACATCACTCCTTTCCCATAGATAGTACTTTTTAGTAACAATAGTTCTATTTTTCCAGAGTTTCCTGCTTTTTACTTCCCTTTTAGTTGTGATGAATGTTTTAAACAATCCTATTGCAGGTTTTTTTTATCATCAATACTCTCACTTCCCATTCTATTTTATATACCTTCAATACACTTCCTTCCCCTATTGTTTAAAATCCCTTTTGATACCTTTGATATTTTACTTTTACCAGAGTAAGAAATATATCAACTGTTACACTGTATTTATTCCATATAGTCTTCACAAATCAGAAATTGAATTTGAATTATATATATGGACATTCACTAATTTAACATTTCAAAAACTTTTCAATGTATTTCGTAACCTCTCTAGCTTTTTCAAAGATAATGTATTAAAATTTTGCTAGCAAGCCCTATATTTTTTTTGAATATATAAATCTTATAAATACTACTGACCAAATATTTTTTAATTCTTGTAATGTCTATAACATTTTTTGGTGTGTAATATTGAACATCTTATCTGATATATATATTTAAGGCTAATTAATTTTTTTTTTGGAGGAGGGCTTTGACATCAACTAAATCAAAGGATAAATTTATGGAGAGATATAGAGAAAAAATAATCATTTTTATGAAAATAATTATATCAAATTAGGACCACCCCATGGGTTGACATGGCCTTCCCTGGCAGTAAAATACTTGCCAAAGTGGTGGTTCTGTTGGGCTGTGTGGGATGTATGAATTTGCAGCCACGTTCGGTCAGAATAAGGTCGATATATATGGTGTAGAGAGAATGCCACCCGAACAACAACTCTTTGATTGGTCTGTAGGGGGTCTGTTGCAAGGCTAAATTTCCCTATCCAACATACCATTGTTTTCCAGTGCCAGTTCAAATTTCCCTATCCAACATACCATTGTTTTCCAGTGCCAGTTCAAATTTCCCTATCCAACATACCATTGTTTTCCAGTGCCAGTTCAAATTTCCCTATCCAACATACCAGTGTTTTCCAGTGCCAGTTCAAATTTCCCAGCCCTTCAACCTGATTGAAACCTATGATAGAACCTACAAATTGTATCAATTGTTAATTTGTTCTCGTCCAGAACATGCATGAAATATTTGCCACTGGACGCAAGGCAAACAACAATCAATCAATCAATCCATCAAATAAGGATTAACAGTTGATATTAAACAGATCTTTACCTTTGAATATTGCACTGCTTTACATTTAATTCACTGCTTAAATTGATTTACTGCATTTTAGGTAATGAGGGAGTTGAAGAAGGAGTAGTTACCATTGGCAGAGTATACTGTACAGGAGATTCCAATCTTTAATAGCGCATACAGATATCACTATGTATTAAACCTAGATATACACCTATATAGCGCTGTAGTGTATTTTCTTGTAGCAAGTTTATCAAACTTTTACTTTTTTAATTTATGTTCAAAATGTCTTGACATTCAGTTTTAAATTGAAATTTGTCAAATATCAATGTTTAAGATTTTCTTTTAAAAAAAATTAAACGATACACAGTTTTGTAAAGCAGGTTGAGAATTTAACTGTCAAAAATATTTTGGAAAATTTCTCTTTATCTATCAACTGATCATTATATATGTTTGAATTTTAATTTATTTTTCAACATTTATTTTGCACATTGTCTTTGATATTATTATTTATTATATTTTACATTTTAACTTATAGTGAAATGTATTTGTTAGATTTGTTATATATTAATATTCATTTTGTTTCATTTTAATTATTAATTTTTTAGAAATATGCTTTATTTACAGTGTTTCATGTACAAATTGTTTAATCTTTGGTTTCAAAAACTACACTTTTTTCATTCACTCAAATGTATTTATATAATTGGATGCAAATAGCGCAAGCAATTCCATATTTAAATGTAATAGGATATGACTTTATTAATTTATTGCATTATTTCAATGATATAGAAGCAGCTCCTCTCATTTAAGCAGCGAATTTTGCTAGCATTGATTAGCTTGAAAATCAAATAATAAAGATCTTTCCTGTTAAAAAATATTACTTTTATTTGTGAGGTCCCTCATGGTGTTCTGGATTGTGTTAATACCAGGCAGATTTATATTGAATTATCTGATTAAATCTGAAAATAATTAAATGATTTTTGATTTCTTACTATCAATTTCCACATTTTTATTGAATACCAAAATTGTACATAGATCATAAAGATTGAGCGAGATCATAAAGATAGAGTGACTTTTTTCTCATTTAATAACCATAGCAAAAGTTGTGAGAAACCCTCCATAAGGGGCCTCATTTGCAGTCGAAAAGAATGTTGAATAATTACGATACTTTTCTGATGTATTCCTTTGTAAAATTAAAACAGGCAGAAACAACGAAGAGGAAGGGTACCATGTGATTGGTCCAGTAAGATGTTATGGTACAAACACTACAATGTAGATGTTGTCTTTCATTATCCTTTATGTTGTATTCTGCACCAATGTAGAAGACAATTAACGATTTAATAGTACACATGTACTTAATAATTGATGTTTAGTGGCAAAAAATAAAGTTTAGCAATGAAATGTAATAAATAATTCAGCTGAATGTATCTGCTTTTGAATTTTGACATTCTATGCAGTTAAATGCTCTCTCTTCTAGTTTTTCAGGTTCAACATGCTATATTGGATAATAACTTAATGTTAGTTTTGATTGTTTGATTGTTATTTTAAAGTTGCAATGTGAATATGTTGATTTAGTTAATCTAATGACACAATATTCAAAATTCAGTTTGACATATGCTTGCCCAGCTCAGTTTTCAAAAAGCAGCTCCATTTGCTATTTTGCCTTTTCTAATGTTGTAGTCAAGATAAGAAAATCAAGTTCTTTTATCATTAATAACTGTCAATTTCTTTTTTGTAATTTAAAATATGACAAAATTCCATTAGGGGAGGTGGGGAACAATATTCAGAGGACTTTTGAGACTAAAACATAGGCCATAACTTAAAATTCAGGCAACTTATTATGGTTGCTCCAACATATTTTAACTCTTTTTGGAACTTAGATTTTCATTTACTTTTCTTTGACTGTTAACATATTTTAAAAGATTTAGATTCAAAAGTTGGACAAATACTGCCCTGTCCCAAATATCAAATTTCATTTATACTACTGCCAGAAACGGGCAATGAGTATACTTTTGGTCACTAATGATAAATTGATGCTGTGAGAACTAAGTATCTGACATGACTCAGACTATGAATACTTTTGACAAGAGTTGTCCACTGAAATTTTGAAGTTGCATGAATTTATGAATGATTTATTCCATGTCAATTAATTTCAAGGAATTTGGTCATCAAATGTTTTTAATATTACATTATTTATTTCAATGTTTGTTACATTTATTAATATCCTGATATGCAGTATAATTGTGGAAAATATCACAGCTATAAAACTGCTATAATCAATTTAGTATAATAAGTTATGCATTATATCTTTTAAATTTTATTTTTTGGCAAAAACAAAATTATATATCACAATGACTTGTAATGGTATATTGGTAAATATACAGGTTAGAAAATATCAAATTGTTCATATATAATGTATATCAGACAAACATAATTATTGTTATTAATTATTATTACATCTATTGCATTTACTTTTTGTTAATGATTAATTGGACATATTTGAGCCATCTCATCATAAACTGCTCTTTAGCTGAAACTGTAAATTGACAGTCATATCTTTTCAAAGAACTATAACTACCAGTGCTGATATCTTTTTGTTCATATAATATGTTTTAGATGTTTTCATAGTACTATTCTGATATGGACTGTGAAGAAATTTTTAACAGAATTATCACTCGATTAGGACTTCAAGGAATTCAGTATGACTGAGAATTAGTGGATTTTTTTAGTAGATTATCTAGAAGATTTAATACATAGGTATAGAGATGTCAGTTATATGTCAATGAGACAGCAATCCAACAAACAAAAACGAAGACACAGAGAGTTCAACATCGATGGAATGTCATGGAAAAAAACTTATACATAAATGTAATATGCATGAAATATCAGTTTCCCCACATGGTTTGCCTTTCTTATCTGACAATTTAGAGAGAGATTTAAAAGGTCTAGGTTAAGATGTAAATAAAAGAAGATGTGGGATATATGTCAATGAGACAGCAACCCAGCAACACATATAGCATGAATGAAATATCAGTTTCTACACACCTTTTCCTAGATAATTTGGAAGGGAGAGAATTAAAAAACAATGCCACTTGCAATAATCTTTTGAAAAAACACTTGTAGGCTTGAATTGTCCAATTAATCAAAATATGAATATTTATAATAAAGTTGTTAAGTTTAAAATTGTTGGTAGATATACAAGGATAAACTTTGTATCTTTACATTTTTTTCATTTCATTTGAAATATTCAATTCTTGAAGTTTGTAGACTGAAAAACACATTTTAGATTAAAACAATGCTTGACATGGGATTGCAGTCCATGAACTTATTATTTTCAGCTTGTTAAGTTCCTTTGGCTAGGTGACATGTTTCCCTTACTAAAAACTCCTTTTCTTTGATACATTATTGTGAAAGAACCCTTCATGAAATTCAGTTGGTGTTGGACAGTCTATTTAAATTTTGGCAAAATGAACTGTCCCATTGTATAAATACAAAAGCTATTGTTCTCTGTGGAGTTCATTCAATGGGAAGTATAAATTTTAAAACCAATCATTCATTGATTAATTTAACTGCACAAAAAATATACTCAAGAGTAACGAATATACATGTACCCTTACAGACTAATGATACACATAACAGCATAAATATTTCGAAGACTTGGTGTTTCCTTTAATTTCTCTTCTGTTCATCAACCCTATTTCCTTTCCTTTTTCAAATTAATCTACTCTTCTGAAAATTATATGATAAACTTTATCCATCTTGGCAGCTGCAGTGATAGAATTCTCTTTAAATCATTGAAAGGAATTGAAGGTGTCCAACACAATTCTGCTTTATGACATCATGGTAGATATAACAGCTATATATTTGAATTTATTTACCATCCACATGCAGATTTATTCTAAATATTTCTCCAACTGGAAGTATTTTTATATATAAAGATATTTACTTGAAGCAAATCACTTTATAAAACATAAGATCCATAATCAATAGGTTGGCTAAAATATTTACCATTCAGAACTGAATGTTTTAAAAAGATTTACTAATACTATCATGTCTACCAACAATTTTAATGTTATTTGATGTTATTATTACTCGTTTTGTTCAGTTTGAACACTGTTATCAAAAAAGAATAAAGCATATGCAAAGGAAAGATGTTTTGTCTTGCTTACTAACAATCTGACTGCATATACAAGTTATTTTTATGGTTTGTCAATTTATTATTCCTCTGAGTCTTTTATGGACCTGTGGAGTACTGGTTACCAGGAAATTGACTTCCCATTTCAAACAGTAATGGACTAATTCAGAAATCTGTTTCATCATGGGAGCATAATTCAATTTTTAACATAATAGAACAAGCATTCTGAGAGTATTGCATGGCAATACATAGTCCCCTACCAGTTAAAAATTCATTGTACTGGAACAAAATGCTAACTTGATCTATAACTTGTCATGGTGTAAACTATATAACAAATATCAAGTCAATATCTTCAAGCATGACAAAAAAAAGTGTGGAAGACTGATGGATGGACAGACAGACAGAGTGCAAACCTAAAGTCCCCTCGACTTCGTCGGTAAGGGACTAAAAACAAAGGATATGGGGTATCCATCCAGGACACAAAATCAGTACATGCACAGCAAAAAAAAAACACAATAAGTAAAGGAACAGCGCTTTTATTGCTGTTCTTCATCTCAAAGTAAGTGAGGCCTTCAACACGGAGCGAAAAAAACCCTCACCTCACTGCAAGTTGAAGACGGCCCCTAGCACCGGCTTGAGTGGAATTCTTTGCAAAAATAAATTTGGATAGACTTTGTAAGATGGAACACCACCTAATAGGCCTGGTCTGGTTAGGCAAATGGCAGATTAAATGATATAAATGAGGTGATCAATCCATTAAAAACATATCACTCAGCTCTCTGGATAGTTAGTACTTGAACTTCATCTTAGTTATCCTTATGATGTACTATACATTCAGTAATTATTGTGATTAGTGATTGACAAAAGTGCAAAAATAACAAGAATGCACACGCTGTTGTCCTAGGCATACCACAATTTATAGTTCAAAGTATTGGCAAGCAAGAAGTAGGTGTCTGACAAATCTGTAAAGCGTGTATACATTACAACTCGTCACTGTCAAGCTATTGACAACATATGAAATCATTCTGTACAGTAGTACTAAACAAATGTGCAACAAAAAAAAGTTCATTCAACATACTGAAAAATTCAAAGAAATGGTAAACAGGAAATAGTTGTTTTAGAGATGGAAAAGTGTGCTCAGCTACAACTCATCTCTGTTGAGCTGCTGACCAAAAATGAAGCTATTTTGTTCAGTAGTACATGACAAAAAGTGACAAAAATATTTTTTGGATGAATGAATATGGTGTAT